TTTAAATTCTAAAAGTCGGTTCTCTTGGGCCTGGAGCGATAGCACAGCGGGGAGGGCATTTTTCTTGCATGCGGCCGACCTGGGTTTGATTCCCAGAATCTCATAGGGTCCCCCATGTACCGCCAAGAGTAGTTCCTGACAGCATGAGCCAGGAGGAACCCCTGAGCATAGCCGGGTATGACCCAAAAATCCTAAATAAATAAATAAATAAACCAAAAATAGCACTGTAGCACTGTCCTCCCGTTGTTCATCGATTTGCTCGAGTGGGCCCAGTAACATCTCCATTGTGAGACTTGTTGTTACTGTGTTAGGCATATCGAATACACCATGGGTAGCTTGCCAGTCTTTGCCGTGTGGGCGGGATACTCTCAGTAGCTTACCGGGCTCTCTGAGAGAGGCGGAGGAATCAAACTCGGGTCAGCAGGGTTGGCCGTGTGCAGGGCAAATGCCTATCCGCTGTGCTATCGTTCCAGCCCAAACCAAAAATAAATAAATAAATAAACAAATAAATAAATAAAAGTTGGCTCTGAACATCAAACCATGGATGACGAGGCATGGGGAGACCCAGCCTTGTGGCTGTCTCTGAGCACTGACCAGGACCAGGCACCCCCGGAGACAGGTCCCCCCCGGAACTCTGCCAGGGTACAGCTGGTATTCGCATGGCAAGTCCCGGTGTTCGGAAATGAAGTCGTGTGGACACATCTCCTAGTGCAGAAACGTGCTGAGTGTCCCTTGGGTTTGACTCCGGAACTGGGCATGGGGCACATGTGTTAGACATCTCTACAGGCTGGATAGAGTTTGGGGGAGGAGGCTGGGGGAGGTGCTGGGTGTGACTGGAAATTAAGGGGCTTTCTTTGTGCCTCTCCCCACAGTCTCAGCTAGGCAACAAGCAATGCCCTTAGAGAAGGTGCCTTGCCAACGTGGCTCCTGGCCACGGAAGCAGGTGACTGGCTGGACAGAGGCCTTGAGGGCCACCTCACTGCATCCCAAAGGTCAGGACAGGCTGGCAGACCCTGGGGGCGTTGGGATGGAAGAGTGTTTGGGCCCCCAATTCCTGGTGTTTGGGGGCCTGGCAAATGCTGGACACGCACAAGAAACTCGGACACAGCTCCCAGACTCCGCCTCCTGCAGCCGGTCCTCAAAAAAAGTTTCTGTGCTCTAGCGCCCCCTGCTGGAGCAGGCAAACAAGGGCAGCCTTGAGGGAGAAAGCCCGCAGGCAATTTTTTTTTCTTTTTGGGTCACACCCAGTGGTGCGCAGGGGTTCCTCCTGGCTCTGCACTCAGGAATTACTCCTGGTGGGGCATGGGGACCCTATGGGATGCCGGGAATCGAACCCGGGTTGGTCGCGTGCAAGGCAAACGCCCTCCCCGCTGTGCTATCACTCCAGCCCCACGCATGTGTGTGTGTGTGTGTGTGTGTGTGTGTGTGTGTGTGTATTACCTGTTTTTTTTTTTTCTTTTTGGGTCATACCTGGCAATGCACAGTAGTTACTCCTGGTGGTGCTCAGGGGTCCATATGGGATGCTGGGAGTAGAACCTGGGTTGGCCGCTTGCAAGACAAACAAACATCCAAACCGCTATGCTATCGCTCCAGCCCCTTGCATGTTCTTTTGTACTGCCAAGGGACCAAGAACTGTAGTCAGGAGGCAGTTGCCAGGAATAAAATTAGAGGGGCCACTGAGGGCCCTGGACACGGGCTGGGGTAGACCAGATGTGCAGAGAGGAACCGGTCTTCCAGAACATTCCACGCCTGCTACCAACACTGTGAATTGCGCTTGGGGCTCAGACCTCACTTCCTGGACACCTCCAACAACCCAATCAAAGACCCGGAAGATTGTATTATTATCTGGAGGCCACTCCGCAGAGAGGATGAAAAATGTCTTCTGGAGAAGGGCGGTCTTGGAAAATTGCCTTTTCTGGGAGAATTGATGGGCAGGGCTGGGGAGTAAAACACTCCTGAATTGTGTCATAGGAACGCAGATAAGGCCCCCCAGAGGTGGTAAGGGCTCACCCCACCCTGGCTGGATCGGAAGGAGCCACGCAGATGGAGACGCTGCTGGAAGGTGTCGCCAGGAGAGTGATGGGATGTCGAGATGATGAGGGGGTGGCAGGGTGAGAGTCCGGGCTTCCTGGGGACACTGGGGTCACTGCTCAGAGGGTCAGTGCCACGTGAGTGAAGTCTTAGGCTTTAGCAGCCTTGGAAGTCTCTGGGTCCCCAGGTTTGATTCTGAGCCCTGAACACAGAGCCAGGGGTACCCCCCGGGGTGCTACCAGGTGTGGCCCCCAAACCAAAAGAAAACCCAAGGGAGAAAAGTCCCCCATTTTTATTTTTATTTTTTGCTTGTTGGGTCACACCCAGTGATGCTCAGGGCTGACTCCTAGCTCTGCACTCAGGAATCACTCCCGGCGGTGCTCAGAGGACCCTATGGGATGCCAGAGATTGAACCCCGGTCGGCCGTGTGCAAGGCAAACGCCCTACCTACTGTGCTATCGCTCCAGCCCCCAAGTCCCCCCATTTTTGTCCTGGGTCAGCACAGGGAGGGTCTAGGTTCTGCTCAAGTTTGCGGCCCAGATGGGTTTACTGACTAGGAATCCACAGTCCCGGGACACGCAAGCAAGTGGTTTCCCTTGATTTGTGGGTAACATCAGGGGCCCGTTGTGCCTCAGATACATTTTTTTCTTTTTGGGTCACACCCAGCGATGCACAGGGGTTCCTCCTGGCTCTGCACTCAGGAGTTACTCCTGGTGGTGCTCAGGAGACAATATGGGATGCTGGGAATCGAACCCAGGTCGGCCGCGTGCAAGGCAAACGCCCTACCCGCTGTGCTATCGCTCCAGCCCCAGACACAACTTTTTGATCTCCCTCGTCCAGCTTCTTGTTCAATTCAGAGGGATGCCGACTGATCCCAGCCCCTGCCCTCACCCTCATCCCTGGCCAGGAGCTGCAGTTCCAGCTCCAGGAATGAGGCGCGACTGTGCTTTTTGGCCCATCCCATACAGGCTCAGCAGGGCAACAGCTCCCAGCTGTATTCCAGCTCTTCTGACCCCGGGGTTCATTCATCTTTGCGTTTCCAGCTCCCAGAATAACACGGGGGACCCAGCTAGCCAAAGCTCTGTTGATGGTCCCGAGAGAGAGGAGAGAGGACAGCTACAAGAATGCGAGAACAGTCCCGCTCCCACCCCTAAGCACACTGTGTCAGTAGTGGAGGCGTTGTCGCGTGAGACCCGAGTGTTTGCATCTCGGTGGCATCTGAAGCCCCTGTCATTTCTTTTTTTCTTTTTTCTTTTTTTGGTGGGGGGTTTGGGTCAAACCTGGCGATGCTCAGGGGTTCCTCCTGGCTCATGAAATCAGGAATCACTCTTGGCGGTGCTCAGAGGACCCTATGGGATGCTGGGGATCGCACCTGGGTTGGCCGCGTGCAAGGCAAACGCCCTACCCGCTATGCTATCACTCCAGCCCCACAGGGCAGCTCTTGGCTGAACCCCAACATGGTCCCCTTGTGCCAGTGGTGATGTGTGACTGAGAGTGCAACTGCGCTGACACTCATCGGCCCCACTTGAGAGTCACACGTGGCCATGTGCCACGTGCCACGTGCCCACGGAACCTTACCACGTGACAGCAACTTTCCAGTCCTGTGAAAATCAACACCGCCTGCTGGTGGAACTATGGGCTGGAACCATAATTATAAGGGGCACTTGCCTTGCACACGGCCGACCCGAGTTCAATCCTGGCACTCCACGTGTTCCCCCGAGGAAGGAGTGATCCCTGAGCACAGAGCCCAGAGTCAGCCCACTGCCAGGTGCGGTCCCAAAAGGAAGCAGTGTGGGAAGAATTCTCACCAAGGTGACCCGTCCTGAGTACCAGGAAGGCCCACAGGGACCAACCTCCGCCATGCTGAGTGTTCCTCCACGGAGCACGAAGAGCCAATATCATCTGCTATCACCCCCCCCACCACCACCACCACCTCGGGGCTGCTTTCCCAGAAGGGACCCCTCACCACTTACCTCCTCCTGAACACTCACCTCCATGAAGACCACCCTCTCCTCTCCATTCTCCTCTGTGTGGTGGGAAATGACCTCCTGCCATCTGCCCCGTTGTCTGGGGACCTGGCTTTTTATTTATTTTTTCTGTTTTGGGGGTCATACCCAGCAATGCACAGGGGTTCCTCCTGGCTCTGCACTCAGGAATTACTCCTGGCGGTGCTCAGGGGATCCTATGGGATGCCGGGGATCGAACCCGGGTGGGTCGCATGGAAGGCAAACGCCCTCCCCGCTGTGCTATTGCTCCAGCCCCAAAATGCGATGCACGTTGGACCATTTCTCTGGCCCTTGTTTTAGCTCCTTTAGTGGTTTCCAGTGTAGCCCAGTAGAAATCAGGGGGCTGGGAAGATGGCGCAGGTGTGAAGCTCCTTGTCTTTTATATGGTTCCGTCCACGTGATCCCCAACCACGTGAGGGACCCCTTGAACACAGAGCCAGGAGTAGCTCCTAAGTACCACCGGGTGTGGCCCCCACGTCCTCCCACCCGCCCAAATTTATTTATTAATTTACTTTGGCTTTTTGGGTCCCACCCGGTAATGCTCAGGGGTTCCTCCTGGCTCTGCACTCAGGAATCACTCCTGGTGGTGCTCAGGGGACCCTAGGGGATGCCGGGGATCGAACCCGGGTCGGCCGCGTGCAAGGCAAACGTCCTACCCACTGTGCTATCACTCCAGTTGGGGGACCTGGCTTTTGTGGTGCCCAGGAGGCTGGATCTGGAACATTCTATGATCGCACCTCCCCCCGCCTCCCCTCCCCCCCGAGCTCGAGCCAAGGAGCAGAGAGCAAGTGGGACAAAGCACCGAGTCTGAGCAGAGTCATTTAATGGGGAGTCCAGGGCCAGACGGGGGAGACAGAATCAGTGTGGCTGCACCAGGCAGGCTGGCCAGTGGATGGCGGTTCCAGGTGCGGAGAGGACACTGGAGTCTCCTCCTGACCCCCACCCAAATCCCCTCTAGGCCGATGAGCACCAGCAAATCCGAGTTTAGCACCAAGGCTGAGCGGGTCCTGGGCCCCGACGGACAGTATCCCCGGTGAGTCCTCCCCATGCCCCCGGCCCCGCGTGGCCTGTCCACTCTCGGCTGGGCAGTCAGTCTCGGGCCCCCCAGTCCTCCCTCCTCCGCTGCAGCCGCGTCCGGGTTTCTTCCTGCCGCCGCCTCCAGGCGGCAATGATTGCCTCGTCATCCATCTCCTCTCCGTGCTCCCGCCTGGTGCTCTGCCGCCGCCCAGACGCAAACTCCCCCTCCTCCCTGCGCTCCTGCCGCTCGCTCTCGCTCTCCTCCCCGGCCCGCCCGAAGCTCCGGCCGGGTCGGCCCCGGGTTCCCCGCTCCGTGGAGTGCTCCCGGGGCTCCGGGGACTCCTCCCCCGCCGAGGCGTCGGGCGTCCGGCGGAAGAAGTAGGGCTCGGGGCTGCTGTCGCCAGAGTCGGAGGCCTCGCTGAGCACTGACCGGGAGAAGGCGCGGCTGCGGGCGCCCTTGGCGGTGCAGGTAGCAGCCTGCCAGCTCGTGGTCCTGACCGAGTGGCCGCCAGCTTCGTGCGAGCTGGAGCTGGCCCGTTCCTCCGACCGCGACTGGGAGAAGCTGAAACTGGAGGCCTGAGACTCCGTCTCCCGGAACCGCGAGTGGCCACTAGCTTTGGTCCTGCTGCTTCCAGAACCATCGCTCCGCGGGGGCGGCGGGAAGGACTTGCCCTCAGACCCCAGGCCCCGGAGCCACTGACTCACACTGTTCCCCAGGGCCCGGCCGCCGTCGGGGGCATCCGCCTCTGCCCTCTGGAAAGATCCACTGGAAGAACGCGGGAAGCTCCCGAAGGCGCTGTCGGTGTCCCCGTCCCCCGCGTCCCCCGCCTCGGGCCCCCCGTCCCACGCCTTCTTCTTCTTTTTGAACAGCGAGCTGCGCTGGCGGCCGGCGGCCAGCTTCTCGGGTGAGTATTCCGACATCGTCTCCCTCAGCCCATCCTGCAGTTCCTGCTCCTTTCGGCCCAGCGCCCCGAGGTCCACTGTGTCGGCGAAGAGGCCGTAGAGCGGCTTGCTGGTGGCCGGAGCCTGGGCCCCGGAGCTAGGCGCCATGGTGGCCGAGGACAGCGTGGACCCTGCGTCCCAGCCGCGCCGGGCCTGGCTCTGGGAACTGCCCAGGGAGGAGCCGCTGAGCACGGACAAGGTGTCATCAGCTGCCCGGGAGCTGGCGGCCTCCGAGGGCGGCCGAGAGCCCGACAGCCACTCCTGTTGCTTCCGGGCCAACGTCTCGTTGACCACGCTCTGGATCCAACTCTGGATGGAGGCGAGGGAGACCGTGTCCCCTGGCCCCACCGGCAGGCCAGGCAGCAGGACGGACGCTGCATCCCCGCGGTCATCGTTGTTGGAGCTGACTGAGGGCGCGACAGAGCCAAAGGTGGACAGTGGGAGGCTCCCGCCGTCGGGCCAGCCGGCCAGTGACTGGCTGTCTTCCAGGTTTTGCCGGCTGCGCTCCAGGAGTTCGAGTCTGCGCTGCCGTTTCTTGGCCGAGGCCGCGTCTTCGGCCTGGCCCAGCTGGGCCACCTGCTCTGGGTTCTCGGTCCCCGCCTTCTTCTGCTGCCTCAGTTTCCAGGCCTGGTAGGCCGACAGGCCCGAGGGGGCGGGGGCCGTGGCCCGCCCCGCGTCGCCCTCACCACCGCTGTCCCCCCCAGTCTCGGCGTCCTTCTTGTGGAAGCCGAACTGGATCCTTTTGATCTTCCACCTCTCCAGGGCCGTCAGCTTGTCCCTATTGCGGCTGCAGAAGCTGGACAGGGAGCTGGCCTCAGAGCACACGCTGTCCCCGTCGTTGTCCCCTCCGCTGCCCGCCCTCGCCCCCGCGTGGCCCCTGCGGGCGTCCCAGGTGCCCTCCGAGGACCCTGAGTCACAGCGGGGTCTCCCTCGCGCCCGGGGTCGGCTGCTCTCCACCCGCTGCGTGCGGACCCCCAGTTCCCGGCTGCTGGTGCTCTCAGAACTGCTGTGCTCACTCAGGGCGAGTCTCCGGTGCTGACGGCCCCCGGGCACCTCTTCTTCCTCCTCCTCCTGCTCCTCCTCCCGGCCCCAGCTCCGGCGCTCCGTGGCCTGGTACCTCTCATTGCGGTTTTGCCATTCACGGACAATGCGTTCCACCCCGTCCTCCTCGTCCTCCTCGTCCTCCCAATTCCCGGGCTCAGAGGAGGCCACATGGGGGCCCCTGTCTGTGCGGGGCCCCTGCACCCACTCCCCCTCCTCCCCTTCCTCCTCCTCCTCCTCCTCCTCTTCCTCGTCTCCCCGGAGGGCCCTGGTGGGCCGGGACAGGCCACTCAGCAGACTGCCGGCGTCGTCCACCTCCTGAACCATTAGGGCCTGCACCCTGGCGCCCACCGTGCTCCCTGAGTCCTCCGAGTCCTCCACCTCCTCCTCACGCTCGTCCATCAGCTGCTCGTTGAGTTGCCGGAGCTGCCGCAGGAAGCCGTCGTTGGGGCACACAGCGCGTCTCTTGCGCAGGGTCATCAGCGCGTCCAGCACGGGCAGCCCGTGGAAGATCATCAGGTAGGCGGCCACAAGCGCCGCTGAGCGGCTGACGCCCATCTCGCTGCTCACCAGAACCTTCCCTGCGGGTGGGCGGGCATGGGGGTCGGTCTCCCACACCTGGAGGGCTGAGGTCCCCCAAGGCGGGTGGACCTTCTCCCACTGAGAGAAAGAAGGCAGTAGCCTGGGGCTCAGAGCACGTGTCCCACACACCAGAGACTCCGGTTCCATCCCCGCCACGAGCTAGCGTGGTCCTGGTACCCTCAAGACTATCTGAAGGGACCTGCCCGACCCAACATTAGTCCCCGAGACCCGACAGATAGACCCCGGAAAACCGGGGAAGGAAGGAAGGAAGGAAGGAAGGAAGGAAGGAAGGAAGGAAGGAGGCCAATGGGGGACCCTTCCGGAAGTGACCCTTCCTCGGGCTCTCGTTCTCTCTGGGTCACACACATTCATACTCTCTCTCTCTATCACACTCACACACTCTCTCACACTCTCACACACTCACACGCTCTCTCACACACACTCTCACACACACTCAGATACTCACACACTCTCACACACACTCTCACATTCTCCAACACTCTCACACACTCACACACTCTCACACACACTCACACACTTTCACACACACACTCACACACACTCTCACACTCTCGCTTATACTCACACACTGTCACACTCACACACTGTCACACTCACACACACTCTCACACACTCATACACTCACACACTCTCACACGAACATACTCTCACTCACATACTTGCACTTACACACACCCTCGCACATACACACACTCACACTCTCACACTCACGCACACAAACTCTCCCATTCACATACAAGGGCACGTACTCACATACTCGTACTCACATACTGGCACTCACAAACACACTCGCACTCACTCACTCTCTTGAGCTCCCATGCACTTATACCTGATACACACACACACACACACACACACTCACACTCACTCACACACTCCCCACTGTCAGTGACACTCAGACTCACTCGCATGGAGAGAGGAGGAAGGAAACGTGCATCCGGTCAGCACGGGGGCAGCTCCCAGCTCTGAGCCACCCCGGGCCCCCTCACTGCCCAGTGGGCAGATTCCCTGCCGCCCCCCCTCACCCCACAGTCCTGAGACCCCTCCCTGCCAACTCGCACCTCTGTAGGTGAGCAGCGCTTCATCCAGGAACTCGGCGGCCTTCCGGAAGTGCTGGGCGATGTCCACCTCAGGGAAGTCGTCCAGCTCCAGCCCCAGGTACTGGATCTCCAACCCCGTGTAGAACTCGGCTCCCGTGTAGACGCCGGTGCCATGGGCGGCGTTGAGGATGTGGGTGATTCCCAGTCTCTTCAGCCGCCCCTTATTCACTGCCACGCTCCTGGCGGGGGTGGGGGGGGACACCATCACGGACCCGGACAGCGGGTGGGGGTGGGTCTCCCCATCCCCTGAACCCAGGACACGGACAGCCAGAGAGAGGCGGGGTGCAGAGAGGCCCACACCGCCTTGCATGGGGCCCAACCTGGATTCAATCTCCAGCACCATAAATGATTCCCCGAGTCTCGCCAGGAGCACAGAGCCAGGAGTCAGCCTTGAGCACCACTGGCTGAGTCTCCTCCCCCACAAAAATACTTAGAGCCCCAAGCTTGGGGAACAGGCCTTCCTCGAGATGAAGTGACGGGCTGGAACGATAGTACAGCGGGGAGGATGTTTGCCTGGCACACGGCTGACCCGGGTTCGATTCCCAGCATCCCATATGGACCCCTGAGCACCACCAGGAGTAACTCCTGAGTGCAGAGCCAGGAGTAGCCCCTGTGCATCATCAGGTGTGATCCAAAAAGAAAAAAAAATGAGGTGACAAACAAAAGTAATACGAGGGACTTGAGCGATAGCACACCGGGGAAGGCGTTTGCCTTGCATGAGGCCGACCTGAGTTTGAGTCCCAGCATCCCATAGGGTCCCCTGAGCACCGTCAAGAGTGATTTCTGAGCGCAGAGCCAGGAGTCAGCCCTGAGCATCGCTGGTTGTGACCCCAAAAGCAAAATAATATAAAAGAGGAGCTAGAGCGATAGCACAGCAGGTAGGGCATTTGCCTTGCACACTGCCAACCCGGGTTCGATTCCCAGCATCCCATAGGGTCCCCTGAGCACCGCCAGGAGTAATTCCTGAGTGCAGAGCCAGGAGGAAACCCTGAGCATCGCCAGGTGTGACCCAAAAAGCAATAAAATAAAATAAAATAGAACTTAGGTTCTTTATAAGAAGACCCACGTAGGGGCTGGAGAAATAGCACAGCAGGGAGGGCATTTGCCTTGCACGCGGCCGACCCAGGTTCGATTCCCAGCATCCTATAGGGTCCCCCAAGCATCGCCAGGAATAATTCCTGAGTGTAGAGCCAGGAGGAACCCCTGAGCATCGCCGGGTGTGACTCAAAAAGCAAAAAAAAGGGGGGCGGTTGGAGTGATAGCACAGTGGATAGGGCGTTTGCCTTGCACGCGGCTGACCTGGGTTCGATTCCCAGCATCCCATAGGGTCCCCTAAGCACCACCAGGAGTAATTCCTGAGTGCGTGAACAAGGAGTAACTCCTGTGTATCGCTGGGTGTGTCCCAAAAAGGAAAAAAAAGCAAAAAAAAAGTAACAAGAGCGTGTCCCTAGGGTACAGCCTGGCTCCTGGCACTGCCAAGGGGGCACCCGCTTATATATAGACACAGGCAGTTTCACATGGCTCCGCTTCCAAAGTGCTCGTCATCAGCCTATTTCCCGCCTGTGTGTTGGGGCAACTGTTTCATTGCCAGTTTGGGGGCATCCGCCCCCGCCCCCCCCCCCCAGGGCTTAAGCACCGCTGAGTCCTATGGGAGTGACCCTGAGAGAAAGAAGTAATTTTTGAAAATGACTCAGGCTGGAGCCGGGAGGTAGTCCAGGGTTAAGGCACTTGTCTGGCATGCAGCTGCCAGCTTGGTGCCAGGGACTGAACAGCCGAGCCCTGCCAGGAGGGACCCCTGAGCACAGAGCCAGGAGTCTGCCCTGAGCACTTCCGGGAGGGACCCCTGAGTAAAGAGCCAGGAGTCTGCTCCGAGCACTGCTAGGAGGGACCCGTGAGCACAGAGCCAGGAGTCTGCCCTGAGTACTGCCAGGAGGAACCCCGAGCACAGAGCCAGGAGTGATCCCTGAGCACAGAGACAGGAGCATCACTGGCTGTGACCCAACCCCTCCCCGCCACCTCCCGTTGATCATTGATTTGCTCGAGCGGGCCCAGTAACGTCTCCATTGGAGACTTTGTTGTTACTGTGTTTGGCATATCGAATACGTCACGGGGAGCTTGCCAGGCCCTGCCGTGTGGGCGAGATACTCTCGGTAGCTTGCCGGGCTCTCCGAGAGGGGCGGAGGAATCGAACTCGGGTTGGCCATGTTGGCTGCGTGCAAGGCAGACGCCCTACCCGCTGTGCTATCGCTCCAGCCCACTCGAAATATAAAGGTAAAGGTAAAGGCCCTCCCGTTGATCATCGATTTGCTCGAGCGGGCCCAGTAACGTCTCCATTGGAGACTTTGTTGTTACTGTGTCTGGCATATCGAATACGTCACCGGGAGCTTGCCAGGCTCTGCCGTGCGGGCGAGAGACTCTCGGTAGCTGGCCGGGCTCTCCGAGAGGGGCGGAGGAATCAAACTCAGGTTGGCCATGTTGGCTGCGTGCAGGGCAAACGCCCTACCGCTGTGCTATCGCTCCAGCCCAAAACCCAATAATAAATAAATTAATAAACAAACTGATGTGGTCAAAGGCTCTGAATGTCCCCTGGGGCAGCTGTGACAAATGTTGTCGTGGGCTGAATAGGACAGTGTGTGTGTGGGGGGGAGGGGGCTCTGGGCTGTGTATTTGCGGAGCCAAGTGCATTTTCCGGGGGATTCGGGGGTCTTCCTCCAGGGCCGCGGTTGAAACTCACTTCTCCGCGATGTAGACGCTGGGCCACACCTCGTCCACCTCGTTCCAGGGCGCCTCGCGGCGGTCCCGCGTGAGCGCGCGCTGCAGGTCCGAGATGCAGGGCGTGTTGTGGCGGCTGCGCTCGTCCAGCCGCTCGCGGACGCGGTTGTACAGGTCCTCCACCAGCAGCTGCTCCGCCGACTCCAGCATCCCTGGGCACTCGGCCGCACCCCGGGGCCCCCGCGGCGGCGGCAGCTCTGACGGGGAAGGGGAGGGCGGGGCTCAGCAGGGCCGGGGAGCCACCCCGCCTCAGCCTGCTGGACAGGTCAGCTGCAGCTAACCTCCAAGAGCCGGGGCTGGACCGCGGGTCCCTGTCCTGTCTCCGCCCCCTCGGCTGCTGGGGGCACCGGCCGAGCTCAACGTCCTGCTTCCTCTCCGCCGTACCCCGGTGTGGGTACACACGTGGTCACTCTGCTGTGTCCCCTCCCACGTACCCCCACCGTGAGTTGCGGAAGGCCCCCCCAACATTACTGCCCGTGGCAACGGGACTTGTGTGCTCCTGCAGTCGCCTGGGTGCAGTGTCCCAGGTCTTTGGGACAGCCAGCCAATACAATTCCGGCTCCAAGTGGACTCAGAGTCAGACCTGGGGTGGCTCGATCTCCCCCCACTTTGCCAAATCGAGGTGGGGGCAGTGGGGGGCCGTAAGAGGGGGCGAGGGGGAGCAGAGTACGACCTCCCCAGGCCTAGAGAGAAGGTCCAGGAGGGGCCCCTGGGGGACACAGCCCTGTCCCCGGGTGCCTCCTGGAAGCCCCCAGGGGCCACCCCCTTCCCCGCAGTTCCCCAGATCGATTTCCTTGGATTCCACTTGGGAGCGATAGCACAGCAGGTAGGGCGTTTGCCTAGCATGCGGCCGACCGGGGTTCGATTCCTCCGCCCCTCTCAGAGAGCTCGGCAAGCTACCGAGAGTGTCCCGCCTGCACGGCAGAGCCTGGCAAACTCCCCGTGGCGTACTCGAGATGCCAAACACAGTCACAAGTCTCACCATGGAGACGTGACTGGTGCCCACTGGAACAAATCGATGAACAACAGGAGGACCGTGCGACAGGCGACCCGCTTGGCTCAAACGCACAAGCCAGCCGCCTGGATTCCTCCCGGCGCCCACCTGGAACCGCCCAGCATCCCTGGGCCACGAGGCCCCCACAGACTTGACTGGGGGTACAGCGGGAAACTGGGAGAGCCTGCAGCAGAGCAGCGCTGCCCCCTGGTGGTGAGCTGGATACCTGCACCTGCCCATGAGAACTGCACCAGGGGGTGGGTTCGCCTGGCTCTGGAGGGCAGCCCCCAACATCCTCGCCCCCGGAGAGAGGGGTACCTTCCTGGATGATCCGTTTGGCGGCCACGGCGGAGGAGAGGTGGATGGGCTCCATGAAGATGCTCTCGGTCTCTGCGTCAGAGATCACTGAGTACCTGGGCGGGGTCGGGCTCGTCAGGGGACACAAAACCCGCACACAGGGCAGTTGGGGCAGGGTAATGCCGCCCCACGGGGTCCTGGGGACCAGGGTTGGTTCTCTCCCCTGACCTGGGGGCCGGCAGTCCGTCTGGAACACGGCGCCCGTACCCACCCGAGGCCCCGCTCCACTCACCGGCTGGGGGATGGGCTCCGGAGGTAGCGGGCCTGCACCGCCCTCACGCCACTGTCGTCCTGCTCACTCGGGACCACCTGCTCTTCCTCGCAGCCCCCGACAGGGGCACCGGCGGCCTGTGGCGGGGGGCGGGGTGGTGAGGGGGACCCGGCTGACGGCTCCGTGCGGGGCTGCAGGCCTAAGCTGGCTCCATTGGGGGGGTGGGAAGGATCCGCAGGGGACAGGCCAGCACACTCCCAGGGGGGTCTCGAGTGGCCACGATGGGGCCCCGCTATTCACACAGGCGAACCCCCTCCCCCCCCGGGAGCCAGCCAGGACCCAGCTTGACCACTGAAGACGGGTCCCTCTTCCCAGATCGTTCTTCTTGGCAGACGTGCTCACACACGTGGACACACTTACACACATAGGCACATGGTTACATGCGGGCAGGCCCCCACACAATCACACATGTTGTCACGCATGCTCGCCAACCAGGTGCACACGGGTACGGGCACATCCACCCGCTCTTTGTCGGGCGGGACCCACATGGCCTTGCTCGGCGTGGCCAACAGGACCGGGAGCCCCCGGGAGACGTGCTGGCCCCTTGGGTCACTGGCTGCTCCCTCCAACCTCCCCGGGCCTACCTGCTTTTCCATAGCTGCCTCAGGCCTGCGGTCACGGTCGGATAAACGGACGGACGACAGACTGACGGATGACGAGGACTGTGAGGGGACAGTGAGGGGACTGTGAGGGCCTCGAGGGGCAGCTCTGGTCAGGCTCCTGTGTCTCATTGGTCCCACAGGGCAGCTGTAACCCGAAACCTTCCCTCCTGGCTAAATTTAGCGGCTGGCCTCAGGGGCTGGCCAGATCTGGAAGGAATGCAGGCTGGGGACCAGACCCCAGGCTGACCATTAACTCCTGCCCCACCGGCTGGTCCTGGCCCAAGCCCCCCCCCCACCCCCCAGGAGGCTTAGGCCGAGGGTCTAAGGGGCTGGGGGGGTCTCTGAACCCTCCCACCTGCTGCCTGGCCCAGTTAGGTACCAATGTCGGTGACCTGCTTCTGCGCAGGTGGCCTGAGAGAGGGTCCCCTGGGAGATAGATGTGTGACATCCCAGCAGTATGCCGAGTGACGGGGCCTGGGCCAGGGGTGGCCGGGGGTGGCCGAGGCCTCGCAGCCCTGCGGCCGAACCACCGGCCGCCTCCCCTCGCCCCTGTGCTGGGAGCCCAGACTCAGGGTCCCCCTCAGTTCACACCTGGACACGGAGCCCCAACTCTGTGCCCGGGCCCTGAGCCCCGATCCCAGGCCCTGGGTCCACTCTGGGGACACAGCCTGGCACCCCGGGGAGGGCAGAAGCAGCTGCGGCCACGAAGGAGCTCACGGCGCCTGGGTTGAGGCAGAGAGTGAAAATAGTACCAGGCACAGGCGCCAGGCTCAAGGTTGGGCGCCCAGGAGCAAACTGAGGGTGGGGGTGGGGGGAGGGCACCCCGGAGGGGGTGGACACAGGAGAGGGTGGACTCGGGAGGGGGTTGGACACGAGAGGGGGTAGACACAGGAGGGGATGGGCATGGGAGGGAGATGGGCACGGGAGGGGGGTGGACACGGGATGGGGTGGACACGGAGGGGGAAGGACATGGGAGGGGGATGGATATTGGAGGGGGATGGACACGGGAGGGGGTGGACACGGGAGGGGATGGGCACCGGAGGGGGATGGGAATGGAATGGGTGGACACAGGAGGAGGCCGGCCTCAGCCCCCCACAAGGTCAGTGGGGGTGACGGGGCACAGTCCAGGTGGCAAAGCTCCCCTGGCCCATGTTGGGCTGCGTTGGTTGGCTAGGGCAACTTCTAGGGGTGGGGGGACTCATAGCATGTCACCCTGGGAGTCAGAACTGGGGGGCAGCAAGGCCCCCACCAGGAGGGTGGACTCAGGAGCAGGGCTCCAGTGCCCACGCCACTGTCCCCCACTGCCCCAGCCCCACCGTGCTGCCTTCGTCTCTTCTTGTGTTGGCGGGTGGGCACGTCCATGGGAGGGGGTTCCAGGACAGGTCACGGCCCCAGCACAGCCGCGTCCACCCAGACCCGACCCCCAATAGCCTCAGGACTGTCCCTTCAAGGTGGGGGCCGGGACCTCTCTGGGCGAGGGCCAGAGGGACACTCTGGCCGCGGCCACACCCTTTTATGGGAACTGTCTCACTCTTATTACGGGGCTCCGCCCGCCCTGTAGCTGGGAAGTTGGGGACTTTGCCCCTCCAGCCCCAGAGATGAGGGGGAGGTTCCTGCAGCCTCGGGGAGCAGGTGGCCTGTCCTATTGGGCGCTGCCCTTCCAGTCACCAGCCGAGGGACCCAGGAAGACCTGGCCATGGACGGGACGAGGAGGTTGGGGATGTACCTGCTCTGGGTGGGTGAGTCTGGGGGCCGAAGGGGGTGAAAACAGGGGTGCTGAGCGCAGGGGACCCGAGCAGCAGTGGTGGTCGGGGAGGGTCCCTGGGCCTAACTCTTCCTGTCTCTCTGACCCCAGGGTCAGAGGTCGCTGGGGCTGGGCACAGGGACAAGGCAGGGGGCAGACAGCCTGGGTGTGGGGGTCCAGAGCTGGGTGTCCCGAGGGGAGGGTCGTGCCCATACCCCAGAGCTCAGGGCTCTACCTCAAACCAGGAAACCGAGGCAGGGACCACTACAGCATCCCCTCCCCCCACCACGGAGCGGGAGACTGACCTTCCAGAAGCGGAAAGGCCTTTCCCACCATCAGCACCTGCCCCCACCCCCCCAAACCAAGCTCCTCTTTACACCTCCCATCTCCTGCCATGTGACCCCTGGGGTCACATCCCACAGACTTCACACCTGCTTGGGGGCTGGGGGTTGTGTGTGTTTCGGTTTGGGGGCGCAACACCTGGCAGTGCTCAGGGCCGACTCCTGGCGCTGTGGCCAGGGATCACTTCTGGCAGGGATTGGGGGACCCGATGGGGTGTCGGGGCTCAAACCCAGGTCGGCTGCGTGCAAGACCAGCGCCCTCCTGGCTGTGCGGTGGCCGTGGGCGTCCGCGGCCGGGAAACTGCTTCTTAGCATCGAGCTGGGAGTCTGGGAGTTTCACCGTGAAATACAGAAGCTCACGGGGCCCGTCTGATGCCCCTCAAGGTGTCACTGGGATCTGATGGAGGTGTCTCGGCTGTCCTGCTTTGGAGGAGGGTGTCGGCCCTCCCAATCCACAAATATGGAAAACTCCCTCCACTTCCTGCTGTCCCTTCTTGCCCTGCAAGTAGTGACTAAGCTAAAGCTCTTTTTTTTTTTCTTTTTGGGTCATACCCGGTGATGCTCAGGGCTGACTCCTGGCTCTGCACTCAGGAATCACTCCTGGTGGTGCTCAGGGGACCCTATGGGATGCCAGGGATTGAACCTGGGTCGGCTGCGTGCCAGGCAAATGCCCTACCTACTATGCTATCGCTCCAGCCCCAAGTGACTTTTAGCTCTTAATGGAGAGGCCTTTCAGCTCCTTTAAGCTGGTTCCTGGGTATTTGATATTTGGACTTGACAGTTAAGAGGTTTCTTTCTTTCTTTCTTTCTTTCTTTCTTAAGTTTGAGTTTGTTTTTTACTTATAGAAATACAAAAGATGGGGAGGATTTTGTTTGAATTTTCTTTAAAGCATACCCAGTGATGCTCAGGGCTGACTCCTGGCTCTGCACTCAGGAATCACTCTTGGTGGTGCTCAAGGGACCTTATGGGGATGCCGGGATCAAACCCGAGTTGGCCGCGTGCCAGGCCAGCACCCTCCCCACTTTATTATGGTTCAGGCCTTACAATAGGTTTTTGTGTCTTGAGTTTTCTTTCTTGGGTCTGCTCTCCACTGTCTTGCTTCCTGTTTCAGAGTTTGCGGTGAAATTTTTTTTTTCTTTTTGGGTCACACTCAGCGATGCACAGAGGTTCCTCCTGGCTCTGCGCTCAGGAATCACTCCTGGCGGTACTCAGGGGACCCTATGGGATGCTGGGAATTGAATGCCCTCCCTGCTGTGCTATCGCTCCAGCCCCTTGAGGTGAAGTCCTACGGGTTTTCCGTATACTTCCACACCTCTGGCAAACTGTGACCTTGTGACTTCTCCCCTTGGCTGAATCCCTTTCTTCTTCTGGCCTGAGCTAGGACTTCCTGTCACTGTTTCGCACGGCAGTGCCACGGGTCTCAGTGACTGCAGTCTGATTGCACACCAGCGATCTGGACGGGGCTTGACTGGGATGGGACTGGCCGCCACTGTCCCTATGGCCCTGGTCCCTGTGGCCCCTCCACAGAGAGACCTGGGCTTCGTCTTCAAATGCCACTGCCCAGAGCTCGTGTCCGAGCACAGGGACACAGAAACTGCTGGTTGCTGAAGATTTGGGATCTCTTCCACCACAGTCTATGGATCAGGCAGCCCCAGACCCAAAGGCAGGGCGTGGGGGGGCGTGTGGGGTCAGAGTCCCACTCTTTTTCTTTTTTTTTTTTGCTTTTTGGGTCACACCCAGCAATGCTCAGGGGTTCCTCCTGGCTCTGCACTCAGGAATCACTCCTGGCGGTCCTCGGGGGACCCTATGGGATGCCGGAGATCGAACCCGGATTGGCAACGTGCAAGGCAAACGCCCTAACCGCCTTGCTATCGCTCTGGCCCCCAAGAGCCCCGCTTCTGCACCAGGGAAGTTTTAAAGTATGGTGGGCGGGCTTTATTTTTCTGTCCCCACGCTTGTTCCTTCCACTTTCAGTGGCGAGGGCCAGTAGTTGCCCTCGTGGCTGAGAAGTTTGCACACTGGCCACCGGGCGTGGACATTCCGTGGTTGCTGCAGTGCCAAACCATGCTAGCCATGGGGGGTGCAGTGCCAAGAACGAACTCTCAGCTGTATCCTGCAGGGCTGGGCCAAGACTGCCCCATTCCCCTTGGAGTCTGTCCTGAGCGGGTGCCTTGGAGGCCCCTCCTGGGCTCTGACCTTGGAGCCCTGAAGCCTTGGCCCTCGGTTCACTGCATCTCACTGGAGGAGGAAGCGGCCGTGGGAGCCGGAAGAATCTTCCGGGAGGAAAGTCTGCCCCAGCTGCCTGCCTGCCCGGGGCTCGCGGGGACGAGGAGCCCAAAGTTCCCGTCTAGGTCAGGGTCTAACAGGGCTGGGCTGCCTGTGGTTGCATGTTGGGTCCTGGCGTCATGATGGAGGGACATTAGGGCACAAGGAGGGGCTTGTCCCACATTGCCCAGGGGGACGCACTTGGCTGTCCATCTCCTGGGCAACCCCCACCCTCAGAACCCCCCCTCTGCCTGCCTGTGACCTTTGGGCCGTGCCAAGGACGCGTGAGTCAGTGCTGCCATAAACCCACACGCGACGGGCGCCCCCACCTCACACTCCACTTAATCTGGGGCGTCACGGCTGGAGGGGTGTTGCCAGGCTGTGCCCTTAGCCCTGCACGCCTGAGAGCAGCACACGTGGACATGGACACACGTGGACATGGTCACACGTGTGCACGCTGCACACGCATGCACACGACCATATATATAAGCACTCATCATGCGTGTACACGCACAGCCAGGCATGGAAGGCTAAGCTCTGTACTACGACCCCATCCTGCCTGTCCAACTATCTGTCCACTACTGCACGGGCTGACCCTTCGGCCTCCGGTACACATACACACACACACACACACACACACACACACACACAGGCTGTGGGTCCTCTGAGCAGATGGACCGCTTCCAGGGGCTCAGGAAAGCATATTTGGGGGGGGCGGTGCAGCATTTCATTATGATTATGGCCTCGGGCCATCACTTCCCCATGACACCCCCCCCCCCCACTGTCCTTCTCTTAATAAGCCTCCGTGAGGGCTGGAGCGTTACCACAGCGGGGAGGGCGTTTGTTTTGCACATGGCCGGCCCGGGTTTGATCCCCGGCATCCCATAGGGTCCCCCGAGCACCACCAGGAGTGTGTCCTGAGTGCAGAGCCAGGAGGGAACCCCTGAGCATCGCCGAGTGTGACTCAAAAAGAAAAAATAATAATAATAAAAAGAAGTACAGGCCAGGAGACTGTGTGAGACTGGTGTGGTCTTGTGCAAAAGCCTTGCTGAGGGGCTGGAGCGATAGCACAGTGAGGAAGGCGTTTGCCTTGCACGCAGCTGACCCGGGTTCGATTCCCAGCATCCCATAGGGTCCCCTGGGCACCACCAGGAGTGATTCCTGAGTGTTTGAGCCAGGAGGAACCCCTGTGCATTGCCAAGTGTGACCCAAAAAGAAAAAAGAAAAACAGTCTCTGTGCTGTTCCAGATACTCCAGAACCTCTGGCAGGGTCTCCCCGCCCCTGGGGGCCCGAGGGGGGGGGCTGCTATAACTCCCCCTGCTTTCTTCTGGGCTTCCCGTGGGCATCACTGGGGTCCCTTGGCTGCAGGGGGGCCCCTCCCTGCACTCCAGATGTGGCTCCCACCCCTCCTTGAAATTCTCAGTAACTCTCATCTGCGCCCGCCCAGAGTGCTCCCGGGAGCTCCTCCTCCTCGGTGCAGTGAACTCTTCTGCACGTCCCACCTTCATGCCGGGGCCTTGGGGGTTACACGGCAGTGTCGCCCTCATTTCAGAGCGGGGCTCCGCCTGTAGCCAGGAAGAGGAGGCGGGTTGAAGCCAGCGGCTGGGCTCTGGGCTGGGGGGAACATCCCCACCGCTCACTCCCCACCCTCCCCACCCCCACAGTGTGGGCCGCCGTGGGTGCCATCCATGTGGAGGGCCCGTCTGAGGTTATCCGGGCAGCGCGCGGGAGGGACGTCATGCTGCCCTGCACCTACTCGACCCAGACCAGCGACCGCAACGGCTTCTTCCAGTGGGACAAGCTCCTCCAGACTCACACGGTACGGCACGGGGAACCCGGGGCCAAGGTGCGGGGCTCCCAGGAACTGGCAGACAAGGGCCCATAAGCCGTGTCCCGCCTGGCTCCCCAAAGCCACGATTCCTGCCCGAGCCCTGGGCTGAGCAACGCTGGAGACTCGGGACACCACTAGACTCCTTTCTCTGTTGGGTTGGAGGCCACACGTGGCGGTGCTCAGGGCTGACTCCTGGCTCTGTGCTCAGGGCTAACTCCCGGCTCTGTACTTAGGGCTCACTCCTGGCTCTGTGCTTAGGGGTTACTCTGTGCTCTGTGCTCAGGGATTACTCTGGGCTCTGTGCTCAGGGCTGACTCCCAGCTCTGTGCTCAGGCTGACTCCTGGCTCTGTGTTCAGGGCTTACACCCAGCTCTGTGCTCAGGGCTCACTCCTGGCTCTGTGTTCAGGGTCACTCCCGGTTCTGTGCTAAGGGCTGACTCCTGGCTCTGCACTCAGAGATCCCACCTGGTGGGTTCAGAGGACCCTCTGGGGTGTCGGGGATGAAACCACGGTTGGTCGCGTGCCAGGCAAGTGGCCCCCCAGCTGTGCTATGGCCCGGCCTTGGGACAGCGCCCTCCCTGGCTCCTGGTTCCTGGGGTCACTCATGCCCTGGGGTGCTTCTGCTCGTCCCCTTCCGGTCAGCCTCTGCAGCAAAGATCCCACTTTAGGAATGTCCTGTAGGGGCCAGTGAGGAACCTTCCATTTGTCCCAAAGTTGGGGACACACAAGGCTGTAACCAATCTCCCATTTTTTTTTTTTATCACTGTGGGCATTTTTTTAAAAATGTACATTTTATGGGGCTGGAGCAATAGCACAGCGGGGAGGGCGTTTGCCTTGCACGTTGCCGACCCGGGTTTGATTCCCAGCATCCCATAGGGTCCCCCGAGCACCTAGAGGAGTAATTGCTGAGTGTAGAGCCAGGAGTCAGCTCTGAGCATCGTCGGGGTGGCCCAAAAAACAGCAACAACAAATTGTGTACATTTTGCTATGGAAAGCCTCTGCAGAACTAATTGTTTAAAATGACGAGGGGCGCCTACAACTGTACCTCATGATGTTTCACTAATAAACATTTAAAAAAAATAAAATGGCGAGGGAGAGACCTGAGAAATAGTACAACAGACAGGACGTTTGCCTTGCACACGGCCCACACCCCCATAGGGTCCCGGGAGCACTGCCAGGAGTGATCCCTGAGTGCAGCACCCCCGACTCGCCACCATCACCCCTGGGCTGTGGACAGATCCCCCCAAGCCCCTGCCCTGACCTTCTCCCCTGGAGTCGCCAGATGCCCTGGGCCCCTTCCAGTGCCCCCTGCCCCGACACTTCGGTCTCCTCTAGGAGACGGTGTTCATCTGGAAGTTCAAAGAACAGGAACCCCTCTACGGCAACGGCTATACGGACCGGGTGGGCGTCCAGCCCAATGCTGCGGAGTCGAATGCGTCCATCACCCTCCGGGACCTGACCATGGCCGACAACGGCACCTACGAGTGCTCCGTCTCACTGATGTCTGACCTGCAGGGCACCTCAATTGCCCGCGTCCGCCTGCTGGTGTTGGGTGAGCCCCCCGGCCCTGGGTCGGGAGAAGGGGGCCTGCAAGGGGAGGCGGCCAGAGGGGGGCGGGGCTGCACCCCTGTGTGTGGCTGTCCCAGTGGGTCTGCCAACAGCCCCCCAGGCAGAGACAGCAGGTGAGGGTCTCTCTTGGGTTCTACCCTGGTCAGCCCTGTGAATCTCTTGTCGCCCACAGAACTCCCCTCCTGGGGCGCCCCGCCCCATCACCACGCCCCCATGGCCAGACACCCCCCCCCCCGTCACTCCTCCCAGCCAACAGTCCCCCCACCAACTCCCCCCCGCATCATTGCTTACTGGGGGGGCATGCAAAATGCTGGAAGAATCTAGAAAGAATCGAGGAGGCCAGGGGACAAGCCCTAGGTGGAACCGCAGCTGGGATGCCTGTCGCCGGGGTCTCTGGCGGGTCCCCTCCAAGGAAGGCAGCTACTTGGCATAGGTGCTGCCCGGCACACCTGAAATCCACCCTCACGGCCCAGCGTGACGTGGGCGGGGGGTTGGGGTGGGGATGGGGGGGACATGAGAGGCTCAGAAGGTTAATTACAAGTAGCCGTCTTGGAACTGGAGCGATAGCACAGCGGGGAGGGCATTTGTCCTGCACGCGGCCGACCTGGGTTCGATTCCCTGAGCATCCTGAGCGCAGAGCCAGGAGTAACCCCTGTGCATCACCAGGTGTGACCCAAAAAGTAAAAAAAAAAAAAAGTAGAGGTCTTAAAAGTCTCCCTGCAAGCGACAGGGACCCACTCTGCTGAGTAAACTCAGGCCCTGGGGCCAGGGCACCGGCCCCACAAACCCGACCAAGCCTTGCTCACTGTTTCTGTGGACTCTGGCGCCCCCTGGTGTTCACAGAGGGTACTGCGCCTCGCTGAACACACCAGAAACGTTTCTGACCAGAAACAGAGGAGTCTGACCGGTCATCGTGGCCAAGAAGCACTGTGCCCCCCGTTTGCAGAAGGGAATTCGGGGGTCTGCTGGGCCTCCCTAAAATGCAGAGGGAGCCAGGGTCAGGGGGTCTCAGACTGGGGTGCTAGTCCCTGCTCTGCTAGGAGCCTGGCACTTCGAAGGCCTCAGTTTCTCTATTTCCACTAGGACAGCTCTAGCTACTGGGGGCCACTATCCGATGAAGCCTGGCAGGGGGTCTCACGGGGCGGGTAGCGGGGTGAAAGGGGAGAATGAGAACGGCGGGCCGAGGGCACTGTTTGCACTGTACGTAGGTGTATGTGTGAGTGCCTGTGTGCATGCACGTGTCAGAGTGTGTGTGTGTGTGTGTGTGTGTGCACATGTCCATGTATGTGTGCTGACATCTGTGTGTGTGAGAATGTGTCTTGATGCCGGTGTAATGATGTCTGAGCGACAGTGTCTGGGTGTAGATGTGGGTCCATGTGTGTGTGTCTGGGGTGTATGTGTGTGTGTGTCTAAGAGTGTGTCTGGGTGTGGGTGTGTATAACTGCATATATGTGTCAGTGTGCAGCTTTAAATGCACCTGTGTGCCTGCAGGAGTGTGTGTGTGTCTGTCTGTAGGAATGTGTGTCTGCAGGAGTGTGTGCCTGCAGCAGTGTGTGTATCTGTATGAGTGTGTCTGTAGGAGTGTGTGTGTAGGAATGTGTGTATAGGAGTGTGTGTGTCTATAGGAGTGTCTGCATGCGTGTGTATGTCTGTCTGTAGTAGTGCCTGCAGGAGTGTGTGTGTGAGTCTGTAGGAGAGTCTCTGGAGGAATGTGTGTCTGTAGGAGTGTGTGTCTGCCAGAGTGTGTGTCTGTCTGTAGGAGTGTTTGCAGGAGTGTGTGTGTGTGTCTGTAGGAGAGTGTCTGCAGGAGTGGGTGTGTATAGGAGTGTGTGTGTCTGTAGGAGTGTGTGTGTAGGAGTGTGTGTTAGAGTGTGTGTATAGGAGTGTGTGTAGGAGTGTGTGTCTCTAAGGCTGTGTTTTTAGGACTATTTGTGTCTATCTGTAGGAGTGTCTGCAGGAGTGTGTGTGAGTCTGTAGGAAAGTGTCTGCAGGAGTGTGTGTATCAGGAGTGTCTGCAGGAGTATGTGTACGTGCAGGAGTGTGTGTGTGTCTGTAGGAGAGTGTCTGCAGGAGTGGTTGTGTATAGGAGTGTGTGTGTGTCTGTAGGAGTGTGTGCAGGAGTGTGTGTCTCTAAGACTGTGTGTCTCTAGGACTGTGTGTGTGTTGTGGGGTGGAGGGTGGCTCATCCCGACCTTCTCTCCGCCCGCCCCCGCCCCAGTGGCCCCCTCCAAGCCCATCTGCAGCATCGAGGGGCAGACGGTGATCGGGAGCAACATCCAGTTGAGCTGCCGGTCCGAGGAGGGGTCCCCGGAGCCCCAGTACAGCTGGAAGAGCTACGACATCAACCACAAGGAGCGCGCGCTGGTGCCGCCAGGTAGGGAGTGGGGACTCTCACCAGCCGGAGAGAGACACAGCCCGATGGCTTTGAGCACCACCAGGTGTGGCCCTTATGGCACGGGGCAACCCTGGGTAGCCCTGGGGTCGCTGCAGAGGCGCTGGACGTCCCCCAGAGCTGCCTTGGCAGAATCTCTTAGAAGCAGCAAAAACACCCGCCTCTGGTGCGGTCCCCGACTCAACCACCAGGGGGCGCCACCGCAGCAGAAACATAAATTTCACTCATTCTTTCGTTTGGGGTTCGGGAGAGCTGGAGGCCACATATGCCAACACATACCCAGGGGCCCCCTGGCAGTGCCCGGGGGACCACACAGGCACCTTTTTCATCTCCGCCCTCGGCACTCTCTCCCGGGCTCAAACATCCCCTCCCACTAGGTTTCAGGAATTACAGGGTCTTCCCCGAAAGAAGAGGGGGTCTGTGGCCACAAGGCAGGCATGGTGACTGCAGATAGGGATCAGGGGAAGTGAGTCACCTCTGACTAGGAGCCACAAGTGCAGGCCGTACCCCCGGAGTGGGAAGCCCCCATCACACAAAGCCCGGTGCTCTCAAAAGGCCCTCAAGGTGCCCCTTACAGGGGCCGGAGCGATAGCACAGCGGGGAGGGAGTTTGCCTTGCATGCGGCCGACCCGGGTTTGATTCCCAGCATCCCAAAGGGTCCCTCAAGCACCGCCAGGAGTAATTCCTGAGTGCACGAGCCAGAAGGAACCCCTGAGCATCCCTGGGTGTGACCCAAAAAGCGAAAAAAAAAAAAGATGCCTCTTACGGGGACAAACGTCCATTGGCACTTCCATCACACCACCCATGGACACGGGCACCCACAGTGGGTGTCTGGGGCCCCCTCCCCGCAGCAGAGGCTCCACTCCGGGCTTTTCCTCCCAGGCACGGGGCAAACGCTGGCCCTGAAGAACATCTCCATGGACATGTCGGGCTACTTCGTGTGTACGTCCCAGAACGAGGTGGGGGTGGAGACGTGTAACATCACCCTGGCCGTCACACTTCGTAAGTCAGGGGGCGCGGGGGGGTCTCAGGGGGGTCCCTGGGGACAGGAAGCCAGGGCCCTGTCCTTTGGAGGGACCCCCAGACTGTGTTCTGAGCCTGGGGCCTCGGTGGGCAGCAGAGTGAGTGCCCAGGACTTACGGCTGTCTGGACCCGACTTCCAGGGTGGGACGCCCCCACCTGCCTAGGGCGGTTCCTGGCTTCTCATGACCATAGTCTTTACCTTCATCTGGGGTGTCCACCCCCGCACTGGCCCTTATCCCTGGGCCCGGGGACCCCAGGCTGCAGTGAGGGGGACTCACAGGTCACATTTGTGCCCATAGCCTCCATGAACGTGGCCCTGTACGCGGGCATCGCAGGGGGCGTGGCGGCCGCCCTCATCATCCTGGGCGTCATCATCTACTGCTGCTGTTGCCGGAACCGGGACGGCGACAAGGACGCCCAGGACGCCAGGCCGTGAGTGTGGGGATGCCAGGGCCTGGTTGCCTTGAGCGGGAGGAGGCCGGTCAGCACCCCTGATCCCTGCGTGTCCTCCCCCCACCCCCCCGCCCGCAGGAACCGAACCATCTACCGGGAGCCTCCAGAGCAGATGCGAGAACTGTCCAGGGGGCGGGAGGATGATGATGACGACCCCCAGCGCCGCGGGTCCCCCGGCCCCTACTACTGACCGCCGCCCGCCCCTCCCCCCACTTCCTGTTCCCCCTTGTTGGCTGCTGGGGGCCTCGGCCTCAGGGGCACTGAGCCTGGAGTGAGTGACCATCCGCTGTCCCCCGCACCCGGGAGCTGCAGGAGAGCCCCCTAATCCCGAGACCCCCGCGCCAGCTAGTGGGAACCCCCTTCCATTAACACTTGGTGGCTGGAGGGACAAGGGTTCCCCGTCCCCAGGCCGTGCAGGGGAGAGTCCTGGGCCCACCCCTCCAAGACGTCCCGGACCCCGCACAGGGCACTGGAATGGGGACAGATCTGCCCCATGCCACCCCCACTTTCCAACTGGGCATCTCTCCCTGCAGAGCGCCCCTTCCTGGTCAGTGCAGCTGGACTTGGGGGGGGTTCCTTCTCTGTAGTCGGGCCTCCCCCCTGTGACAGATGCCAGGATGATCCCCGCTTGCTAGCTTAGCCCCTAGTTCATTGGCACCCACGCCCGAAGCCCGGGAGAGTGGGTAAGGGTTCGGGGGTCCTGCCCTGTGCTTCTCCCCCAGGCTGCAGTGCCTTCATGCTCCTCACCCAGACTGCAGTTCCTTCATGCTCCTCCCCCAGGCTGCAGTGCCTTCCCACAAATGGTGCTTCTTGGGGGGCTAGACCAGCCTGTCGGGTCCACAGGCAGAGGCTGGGGGTGTGGGCAGGACCGAACAGTCTCCGGCTACTGGGTCCTACTGGGTCCTGCCCACGTGGGCCTGAGGCTCCCCATGGCAGCAGGCTCCCCTCAGTCATGAGGACCCCCGTGCTTTCTGGAATGCCCTGATCCCTACTTGGTGGCCTCTGTCCTGTCATGATGAGTCATGATGAGGAAATAAAAGTCCTGAAGCTTGAGACAGTGCTGGGACTGGGCAGACGGTTCCCGGGGCCGGGCGGGACAGGGCACACAGGGCGAGACAGGCCGAGACTCACACCGCCGCCGCACATCCTGCAGGCTCTCATCGCATCCCCCCTGTCCTCCCAACCATGGGGCCGTCACGAGCACTGGGGGTGGGGAGGCCGGGCCACAGAGCGGGCTGCAGGTTCGGCCCTGGCTTGCACGGCGGCCCAGTACTGACTCCCGAGCACTGCCAGGTGTGACCCAGATAGACAGCCAAGAAGTCCCAGTGCCCTTGGATGCGCCCCTCCCCCCTCAGAAAACAAGCGTCTTGCAGAGTGGGCTTTGCATGCAGGAGGCTGTGGTCTCATCCCCAGGACCGCGAGCACTGGGCCAGGAGCAAGCCCCGAGCACCAACTAGGCGTGGCCCTCCCAAACAAAACTCAACAATCTCCATACAGTGGAGGGGGCTCTTGGGCTTACAGCTGCCCTCCGGACTTCTGGCCCTGGGGTGGCCTGACCTTGGCCGGCTTGGGCCCTTCCAGAACTTTCACTCTGGGATCTGGCTGAGCACAGGGCAGGGATGCCACTGCCAGCAGGAATGGGAGGCAGAGCCTGGAGGTGAGCCAAGCCGGCCGGAAGTGGGTGTGTGGGGAGCCCCGGGCTTGGCCTCGGGGCACCTTCACTGCCTTGGGCACAATCCTTGCCACTGGGGACCCAAGAGTCAGACTAAGCGCCTGCCAGAACATTCCAGAAGGCTACAGCAGGGGACTGGGAGAGGGTGCAGACGCAGCCCCTCTGCAGGCTGGGGAACGTTCCAGAAGACTCCAGCAGGCAGGGGGGTGGAAGGTGCGGACACTGCCCCTCCGCAGCCCGGGGAACCTTCCAGAAGGCTCTGGCAGGGGCTGGGAGGTGTGGACGCCACATCTCTGCAGGCCAGGGAACCTTCCAGAAGGCTCTGGCAGGGGGCTAGGAGGAGGTGCGGATGCCACCCCTCCACAGCCAGGGAACCTTCCAGAAGGCTCCACAGGGGCTGCAAGGTGTGGACGCCGCCCCTCTGCAGCCTGGGGAACCTTCCAGAAGATTCTGGCAGGGAGTGGGAGGTGCAGACACCAACCTTCCGCAGCAGGGGTACCTTCCAGAAGGCTCCACAGGGGCCGGGAGGTGCGGAAAATGCCTTCGGGAGCACCCGGCCTACCAGCCTCCCTGCCTGCGCTGGTCGCTCCTCCCAGCCCCCTCCAGGCGGGGGCTTGGGGGTCCTGGGGCCCGAGGCTCTGTGCCCCGGAAGTGGGCAGGCGTGGCAGCCCCGAGGTCACCGTGCTTCCCTGCAGCTCCCCTGCCAGACTGACACTTTCCAGACTAACAAACTCAATCCTGACACTTTCCGGACTTAAGAGAGTCAACCCTGACGCTTTCCGGGTTTTTGCAGGCCCAAGCCCCTGGGACAGGCTGCCCTGCTTGGGAGCATTGAGTGGTGAGAGATGGGGCAGAAGTCAGGGGTGACCCTGGCCAGAGTGACCTTGGAGTGACAGGGATACGTGCCTGACATGGGAGGATGGGGCCAAGGACAGGAAGGCAGATTGATTTTTGGGGGGGGCGTGAGTCCAGGGTCACAAGGATCAGGCGTGGTAATGGGGTCCCCAGGGGTGCACGCAGAAAAGCCGGTGACACAGCCCATGAAAGAAATGATCCATACTCAGGCCTCATTCAAGTCAGAAACCCTGGGGCTGGGGCTGGAGCGACAGCACAGCAGGTAGGACCTGGGCTCGATTCCCAGCATCCCATAGGGTCCCCCAAGCACCGCCAGGAGTAATTCCTGAGTATAGAGGAGGAAGCCCTGTGCATTGCCGGGTGTGACCCAAAAAGAAAAAAAAAAGACAAGTCACAAAGAGTACTGAGAAAAGTTTGATATTCAAACTTTTTATTATCTACATTGCACCAAGAACAGTAAGAAAATGAACAGACGAGAAAGGAGTTAAGCCTCCCTCCCTGCCCCCCCAAATAATCACCTCACATTTGACTTGTCATAACATTTGCACTCGGACTTAATGATTTGCAAGTGTTTTTTGAGTCTTCTTTTTTTTAAAAAAAAAAATTGGGCAGATATCAGTCATCCAAGGCTCTGGGATCCTTGATTTATATTTAAGGCACCACAGTTTATAATATCGCTCACATAGGGCTTCCTACACACAGCATCCCAACACCGGATCCAAAGCAGAATGTCCACTTCTCTCCACCACTGTAAGACTTTGTGTGTGTGTGTGTGTGTCACACCTGGTGATGCTCAGGGCTGACTCCTGGCAGTGCTCGGGGGGACCCTATGGGATGCTGGGGATTGAACCTGTGTCGGCAACGTGCAAGGCAAATGCCCTCCCCGCTTGACTATAGGCACAGCCCCTCGAGACGTCTTTTAACTTTCTTGTCTGCCCTTTAAGGCACCAGGTGACTAACCTTTTTGTGTTTAATCTCTAAAAAGTTAATGTGTTTCTTTTGGTGTCTGGTTCTTGAAGCTGCAGTGAAGAGACAATACAGAGGTCAGACACTGTCCCAGCATGCAGTCTGCTCCCAGCATCACAGTGTTCCCTGAGCACTTGGTCTCCCTGAGCAGACCAAGAGCAAAGCCAAGTCTCGTGCAAGGTTATGAAGGTTTCGATGTCAAGTTTCTCTCAGGAATTAGTAATAGTTCTTACGAATAGCTCTGAAGTCTACTTTGAGTTTGTGAATGGGGATCCAAGGGCCCAAATGTTTTCTTTAAAATGTGGGTGTCCATGACCCGGCACTGTTAAGAGTCTCTAGCTTGATCACCAAGCCTGCTTGGATCGGGACTGGGCCTCCTCCACCCAGATCCCCCGTTTTCAAGTGGCTTGGCAGTCACACCCCCAAACTGCCCTGACACCATGTAATCTCATCAACGGCTAAGATCCAGAAACTATAAAATAAAGCACCCAGAGGAGAGCGACACAGTGTTTCCTGGTGTCTTCTTACACTCTAGCCCATTGATGTAACCTAAAGTAGCCCACATTTGTTTGGTTTTAACATACTTGCTAGTGTTCTCTTACATACGGGCTTAAATGGCCCCAGAATAAAGTACAACCACCTTCACACACTTCCCTTTTATTGTGGTGGGAAGACGCTCGCTGGTGGAGTGGGTGTTTAAATATTATCTGTAATGAACTATTGTGAATTACTGTATGATGACGACGACCTCAAGCTCTGCTCTCACACCATGCTGCTGCCCACCTGGGGCCAGCTGGAGGGGCGGGTGATCGTCACCGCCTACAGTGCACGGACGAGGCCGTCTAGGCGGTGGTCTATGCCATGGAGGTCAGTGGGGGGCAGGGGGACCGCTTTCCTCTGAGGGGAGAAACACCCCAGCCAGCACGTTGCCTTCAGTTCGCAGGCGAGGCCCCCTCCGAAACATCCTGGGGCCGGAGCCTTGCCCGCGGCTGACCCGGGTTTGAGTCCCGGCATCCGATGTGGTTCCCTGAGCCCCGCCAGCAGGGAGCCCCAAGTACATCACTGGGTGTGGCTCAAAAAAGAGAATTTCGATTTATCTTTATAAAAATAAAATGTATAAAAATCGTAAAACACAAAAGACTACTCTAGCTCTATCATAAGCATTTTGGGACTGAGAGCAGCTGGAGGCAGATTCATTTTATTTCTGAATTATGAGACGCCAGGGATCGAACCCAGGTGGATGCACGTAAGGCAAGCGCAGTACCCCTAGCCCTGTGGTGTATGGGTCTCACAGCCTCTAGTGATCCACTCCGCCCTCACTGGGAAGCCCAGGGCACCCGCTTTCCGCACCTCTGTGTCCCTGACCCAGGCTTGTCACGCATCGCTGAACAAAGGCAGGCTCGAGTCTTCACGGAGTCCCTTGGCCCTGGAGGTGGGTCTGAGGCCAGCGGCACTTCCCCAGGACTTCAGGGTGATCGTTTCCCCCCTTTTCTGGGCTTCTCCTACGGATGGGGGTGGGGTCCATCGTGAACTCCGAGTGGTGACTCAAGCTGCAAACAAGGTCAGGGCACACGGACATGCTACTGGACTCGGGAGTGGGAAGCTTCCAATTAGTCGCTGAGGGGAACGTCACTTGAGTCTTCCCGGGATCCTGAATTCTGAACAGTGAAGACGATTCTTTGAATGGGGCTAGCCGCGTGGTTTGGGGTTTGGTCGGACTACAGCTGAATCTCACGAAAACAATGTTTATGAGAAACAGCCTCGTTCCTGACGCCCCATTCGCTCTCAACGGAACGACCATCTCCGAATGCAACAGTTATGTGTACCTAGGTCAAGAAGTCAACATGATGAATGACCTGGCACCCGAGCTGCGCAGGAGGAAGAGAGCGGCTTGGAATGCCTTCAAGAGCGTCGATGAAATAGCTAAGAGGACGAAAAACCTCCGGCTCCGAGCACATTTCTTCGATTCCCACTGTTCTTCCTGCATTAAATATGCCTCAGAGACCTGGGCCCTACGCAAACAGGATGAGAATGCTATTCGGGTCTCCCAAAGAGGAATCGAAAGAGCTATGCTTGGAGTATCACGCTTCGCTCAAATGAGAGAAAGAATCCAGAGTTCCGACCTCCGTCAACGATCAAGAATCAGGGATGCTGTGTTTGCCAAGGCGTCGAAAATCAGATAGGCTGGACCCGTAATGAGATTTGGAGACGACTGCTGGACTAGAGCCGTTACTGACTGGATTCCACGGGACGTCAAAAGACCGCGTGGCCGCCCACCTACCAGATGGTCAGACTTCTTCGTCAAGACCCTGAACGATCGGTTTGAGGCTCTTTGTGTTCCTAGAACGAACAGACGCCATTGGGCTACACTAGCACGCAAGAGGGACAAATGGAGACGTTACTGGTGCCTGCTCAAGCAAATCGATGAGTAACGGGATGTCAAGTGATCAAGTGAGGGAACTGTCACTCAAGTCTTCCCAGGACTCTGAATTCTGAACAGTGAAGATGAGTGTTTGAACGGGGCTAGCCGCAGTTTGGAATTTGGATGGTCTCTGCAGAGACCTTTTACTCTCCTTCAACTTATTCTTGGTGGGGGGTGTTGTTTTGACTTTATCTCATCTTTAAAAAATACAATCCAAGTCATCTCATTTCTGAGCTGGAACTTGAGCAATTAGCACACGAGTCCAAGGGAAGCCCCTGGCGTGATGTCCACGTCCTGCCGGCCACTCCCTGGGCAGCCCATGTCCTGTCCTGCCAGTCTCAAAGTTGACGGCCTCCACGTGGGGATGTGAGTTTTATTTATTGCTTTTTGAGTCACCCCCGGTGATGTTCAGGGTTTCTTCTGGTTCTGCACTGAACAATTACTCCTGGCTCGGGGGACCATATGGAATTCTGGGAATTGAACCCAGGTCAGCTGCGTGCAAAGCAAGTGCCCTCCCTGCTGTGCCATCGCTCCAGCCCTGAGCTTTCTTGTTTAATTTTTTTATATGTAGGAGTACTGCCACTTATTTAGCCACTGATTAGCTGATTGAATTGTGCATGAACTCCACCTTGCGTTTTTTTTCCATCTTCTATAATTTTATTTATTGAATCACCGTGAGCGCAGTTACAAAGCTTTCGGGTCTAAGTCTCAGTCATACAATGAAACACCCGTACCTTCACCAGTGCCCATTCTCCACCCCCAAAAACCCCAGAATTCCCCCATCCCACACCCTCCCCCTACCTGTGGAGCAGATGATTTCCACAATCCTCTCTCTCTACTTTGATCACATTCAATATTTTGACACCAGACCCACCATTATTATTTGAGGTTTTACCCCAACACTCAGATCTGCTGAAAAGGCAACAGTAGACAATTTGTGTTCTATTGCTGGTTATGAAGAACATATGATGTCGCGTGGCTGCAGTAGGGCCATGTGATTTTGAAATTCCAAAATTTTAACACTTAAATCTGGAGGGATTTCTGCCAAAAGCCACCGGGTTTCGAGATTTGCTCCTGAGTCTCTGGGATCATGGCCATTGAGCCGCTTAATCAGGAGCCAGAGAGGCCGCTCATGGGTGATGACTTGGGGTCTTGTTGGGACGGGGAGACCAGGACCGGCTCCAGCCCCATCCTGTGAGGCCCAACAAGTTTCCTCACTGCGGGCCCAGACCTGACTGTCCAATGGTCTCTGGAGGATGACGGCCACCGAGCTGCCAAGGGGGAGCAGGCAGAGGGGCAGCACCCTTTCACCCCTGGGGTGGCCCAGCGACAGTAACCTACTGCGGGGTCCGAACGCATTTCTGCCCAAAGCCGCTGGGTTCGAGATTTGTTTCTGAGTCTCTGGGATCATGGCCGTTAAGCAGCTTGATCAGGAGCCAGAGAGGCCGCTCGTGGGCGATGACTTGGGGTCTTGTTGGGGTGGGGAAGACAGGCCTGGCTCCCCCCACATCCCGTAAGGCCCAACAAGTTTCGTCACTGTGGGCCCAAACCTGACTATCCAGTGGCCTCTGAAGGATGGCGGCCACTGGGCCACCAGGGGGAATAGGCCAAGGCACAAAACCTATTCCCACCTGGGTTGGCCCAGCACCGGTAACCTACTGCAGGGACCGGACGCATTTCTACCTAAAGCCGCTGGTTTCCAAGATTCGTTTCTGAGTCTCTGGGATCATGGCCATTAAGCAGTTCAATCAGGAACCAGAGAGGCCATGCCTCCAATTATATAGCTGAGCCGGAGGTGGTTTGTGGGTGTGTCTCCCACATACCTAACTTTTGGCCATTTACTTTCTTTGTAAAGAAAGTTTTTGGGGTCTGGCCAAAGGCACAGCAGCAATTTTGGGGTACCTGGAAGTCTGAAGGCGCCATGAGGCTGCTGATGCACTCGCCTCAAAGGTACAGGCTTTGTTTTAAAAGCGAACATTAGGGGGCTGGAGCAATAACAGCGGGGAGGGCGTTTGCCTTGCACGCGGCCAACCCAGGTTCGATTCCCAGCATCCCATAGGGTCCCCTGAGCACTGCCAGGGGTGATTCCTGAGTGCAGAGCCAGGAGTAACCCCTGTGCGTCGCCAGGTATGACCCAAAGTAAGTAAAGTAAAGGCCCTCCCGTTGATCGTCGATTTGCTCGAGCGGGCCCAGTAACGTCTACCTTGGAGACTTTGTTGTTACTGTGTTTGGCATATCAAATGACGCAGCCAACATGGCCTAGCCGAGTTCGATTCCTCCGCCCCTCTCGGAGAGCCCGGGAAGCTACCGAGAGGATCTCGCCCGCACGGCAGAGCCTGGCAAGCTCCCCGTGACGTATTCGATATGCCAAACACAGTAACAACAAAGTCTCCAATGGAGACGTTACTGGGCCCGCTCGAGCAAATCAATGACCCAAAAAGCAAAAAATAAAAGCGAACATTATCACCAAGTCTCTTCCTGTACACTGTCCCTCACCCAAAGCCCTGCTAACCAGAAATGGGGGGTGGGCAAGGAGACATTGGCAGGAACCTCCACACCCACCAGCCCTGCGTGTCTGTGAAACGAGGCCTTTGCTTCCCTGCCTGGTCATGAGGGTCGGTCCCTCAAGTGCTCTCTGGCTCAACGAGGAGGAAAAATCCAAGAGCCCCTTGCAGACAGCACTTGGCTCTAGGAGTCAGGCCACAATCAGAACGTGGCCCATGCCTGTGGTTAGAGTGGGCCTGCCCACGGCTTCTCGGGAACAGGTCACTGCAGCTCGCTTCCTCTGGGCTGCAGCTGACAGCTTTGGGGTGGGAAGGATCTGACGCGTGGCCTGGGCAATTGAGTGTGAGTGTGTGTGTGTGTGGGGGGGGATGGACATCTTTCTCATTGACTTCTCATTCTTTTTTTAGTTTATTAAAAATCTTGTTTGAGAAAGGCACTATGGCACTGTCTTCCCATTGTTGTTCATCGATTTGCTCAAGCGGGCACCAGTAACGTCTCCATGGTGAGCCTTGTTGTTGCTGTTTTTGGTATATCAAATAAGCCATGGGGAGCTTGCCAGGCTCTGCCGTGCAGGCAGGATACTCTCGGTAGCTTGCTGGGCTCTCCGAGAGGGGTGGAGCAAATTTTAAAAAATTACCTTCAGTTCCAAGGAGAAGGCTCCACACTTCGTAAGGGGGAGAAACAGATCGACATTACTGTAAAATCTTCCAGAACAGGAAGTTTGACCTCCCCTGACGGTCAGGATGTGACGATCCCCCCAGCACGACTCCAGGAGGGCCGGGAAGGGGACGAGCCGCCGGCAAGGACAGAGCAGCCACACCAGGTTCCTCCCCATACACAATCATCTTTAATCTACGAAATAGAATCTCCTTACAAATTAGCTGTTCGCACAGTAGTGCCACTCATGGTTGATGCGGCCTGTGACCGTAGTCACGGCTTACTATGACTGTAGTCAGAAGGGAAGAGGGGCGGGCCCGCGACTGTCCCGGAAATCGAGAGCACCATCATTAGGAGAAGGAGAAGGATCTGTAGCTGTCCTTGTGGGGCGCGCAGGGCGAGAGCGGGCCCTCGCACCCGGGGAACCTGCGCAGGCCGCCCGACGAGCCCGAGATGCTCTCCAGCAGGCGCGTGATCCCGCGGCCGCGGACGCTGCTGCTGCCGCCGCCACCCGACAGCCGCACTCCGGAGGGACAGTCACCTAGGGCACGGGGAGGCGAGAGAGAGGGAGCAGCCGCGTCACACTGACGGAAGGAGACCCCGCAAGTCACCCCGATTCCTGCTGGCACCATCCTCGAGAGCACGGTCCTGCCCGGGGATTCCACTCAAGCTTTTCAGGAACCGCTGGAAAATTTTCAGACTTCCCCATTTCCCCAAAGGCATTGCCACATCCACACCACGAAGCTCAGCTTCTACTCCTCTCAGATGCGTCCTCTGCCGCAGAGAAACGCACACACCCAAACTGCTGGGGGTGTCCGCGCCGGCCAGAAGCCATGCAGAGCCGAGTCCTGACCTGATCCGAGCCGCTCGCTTACGGCGGCCCGTGCCCCCCAGCACCGTGCCCAGCGAGCGGGAACTCGGGGGCCACCTGAAGCACTTACCGCCGGGGGTGCTGGATCTCTGCTCCTGGATGGAAGAGCTGAAATGAGAGATGCCTGGACTCTCGACCCGGAGCTTCTGCGAGTAACAGAGAAACAGGAAAAGGTTGATCAGTCACTGGATCGTGGACTTCTAGTTCCAATCACGATATGTATCTTTTTGCTGCTTGGGCCACACCCAATGGTGCCTGGGTTCACTCCTGGATCTGAGTGCAGGGCTCACTCCTGTTGGGGCTCAGAGGACCGCAGGGGATGCCAGAGATCAAACCGGGGTCGGAGGCGTGCAGGCAAACGCCCTCCCCACTGCACAACTGCTCTGGCCCCTCGAATCACTATATTAAAAAATGCGAACACTCACCTAATGTGTGACCAATTTTGGAAGTGCATTCCTGTAGGAGGGAGGGAAGGAGATTCCAAGGGAACTGCAGGGTCAAGGACCATGATGGCATGCTTACTAAGAGGGTGCAATGGTGTGGGGATGAGGGAATCACCAAATGGAACTGGTGAAGGCGGGGTTCCGAGGGGAGCAGGCCACCGGGCACTGGAACGGGAGCACAAGTCGGTAGCGCACAGACTACAGCCCTGATTTCTCTCACCTGCTGCTGTTTTCTGAGGAGCAGCAGGAGGCAAAGGTCCCAAAGCCCCACCTAGTAGCACACACGGAAACTGCAGGTCGAGGGGAGCCAGGCCCTAGATCCGACACGCTGACAGGAACCCATCAAGGATGTGGTCAGTGGTGGACAAGTGGCCAGAGAGGGGCAAGTCCAAGGCAGTGGGGGCTAGGCCAGTGGGAAAGTTGAGCAGAGACTTCTGGGCAGGGCTCAGGTGGCCGAGCACATGGCCAGCACGCGAGGTCTGCGGCCAGCGCTGGTGTTGAGGGGCCTCTGAGCACCACCTGACACAGGGACCCCTGATGGGTAGACAACGGGGGGGGGGGCGACAGGCACCCCAGGCACCAACAGCGCCACCCGACAGGCACGACAGGTGAAGTCGGGGTTCAGGACACTGCAAGAAGTTCAGAAGGCAGAGTCCACCAACAAGAGGCCCAGGCCCTGGTCAGGGCGTGGGAGGGAAGGGCCGAGGCCAAGCACAGGCCAGCCCGGCCCCCGCACGCCTCCGAAACCGCCACAGGCTGGCTCACAGCAGCTATGGGGGGTGAGGGCCGGTGGTGTGGTCCGGCCGGTGCTGACCGTCCAGGAGGCAGCGCTGCCCACGCTGGGCTCAACACGGCCCTGGCCTCCAGCGCTCCAGGGAGCCAGCGACGCACTCTGCAGTCGTGACCACGACAAACCCACAAACACTGTGAGGACAGCGGCTTCGGGGACACACACGGCTCCAAGTTTGAACCCACAAAGAGATCCCTGAGCAAGCCCCGCCCAAGTCCACTGGTCACCCCAAACCCTCCTCACGCTTGTCCTTCACACAGCAGCCCGGGGTCCAGGGCAAGCGTCATGGGTCACTCCATCTGGACAGGCCCGACACAGTCCAGACCCAGGAGCCAACCCCAGCACCCCAAGAACTGTTGGGGGCCGGGTCACACCAACACCACAGGGCCACAGTTTTGGACCCCCACCCTGACGCTCACCCAACTCCAGAGCACTACTGTTTGGGGAGCACCTATCAACATTTGTGGATGGCCCTGTTCCAGGCAGATCACTGTGTACGATGCCCTTGGTTCTGCCAGCTATTAGCCTCTATGAGAACGCAGCGCTACACAGAAGGTCAGCGCAGGGGCCAAGAAGCTCGCATAGAGAAAGTCCCCGTAAAAACACCTCAAGCTACATCCCGCAAGTCCCGACTTGGAGACTGCAGCAGGATCCGCCCCTCAACCCCAGAATCCAGCAGGCCCCGCCCCTCGGCCCCCCACTGTGATGCTCTGTGATGCTCCGCTCACGTTCAGCCTGTTCAGCCTGGTGAACCCCATCAGGGAGAGACAGCAGGGGGCCCACCCGGGGCGCCTCCCACACACCTCCAGACATTCCACATACTCACATCAGCTACAGCCCAAAAGTTAATTCCTAATATAAATGTTGGGATGAGTGTTGTACCGAGACTAATTGCCAATTTGAACTCTCTCAGAACTTTGTTACACAGCTGGACCAAGGGCATGTCGGACAGGCAGAGGTAAGGAGAGTTACAGGTGGAGACCCAGACCCAGGCCGGCCCCAGCAGGACGTGGACGCCAGCCCAGAGCCTGGCCAGCCTTACCTGGTAACGTCCTGCGTCCAGTACCACCATCTTGGGTGTCACGCTATTGCTGGCCTCGTAATCCTGGAGCGGAACGTGAGCCTCGGTGAGCCGGATCCCAAAGAGAGTGGCCAGAGAGTTACTGATGCAGTACCTGGAAGGGGAGGGGCGATCAGGGGACCCTCCGCCCCGCGCGGCAGTAGCCCCAGCTTCAACCATGGCGCCAAGACAAAGCATCGGAAACAAACTGTCCCAAAGCAGACAAAACGGGGGGAGGGTTTTTTAGATTTAAGAAGAGATGAGACTTAATGTACATCCCCCCGCTCCGGCACCTGGAGTGTGCTCGTAAGGGGCGGGAATGAGGAAGGTTATCCAAACGCTTGAATATTTAAGGCAAACAGGAAAGCACCAAGAATAGTACCACGTTGGGGCTGGAGCGATAGCACAGCGGAGAGGGCGTTTGCCTTGCAGGAGCCAACCCAGGTTCAATTCCCAGCATCCCACAGGGAACACTGAGCACCCCTGGGAGTAATTGCTTAGTGCAGAGCCAGGAGTAACCCGAGCATCACCGGGTGTGACCCAAAAAGCAAAAAAAAAAGAACAAAAAAAAAAACCCAAACAAACAGAACAGTGTGTCAGTCAGTCGTGAAATGGGACAGTGCTGACCCCTGCCAGCGTCAGGAGCTGAGAGCCCAAGGCCGACGCGTTCGACAGGCCCTTCTCCAACTCACGCAATTTTCTTGCAAACGGCTAGTGCACAGAAGAGAATGTCATTTTCTTCATGCCACTTGCACCTGTGCCAAAAAAAGGAGAGTTTTAGAACCCTGGCCTAAAGGAGCACATCAGGGCTCTATACACCCAATTCCTCACCTGGTTAAATATCACTTAGAGAAAAAAATTACTTTTTTCAACTTAAAGCACACCGAAAACAAGAATCACGTTTGAAGCAAGTCCTATCAGCTCACGCTGCCAAGTCCTATGACTCTCAGCTGGTCCCCCAGAGCCCACGGCCCGAGGCCCTTGGAAGCCACCACGGAGCCGAGCCCGCCACCTCAGCGCTCAGGCAAGGGGGTCCCACCCACCTGGCTTCCGAGGGCCCCTCCCGGGCACACCACAGCTCTGGCCCCAGCTCTCGAATGGGGCGGGGTCCCTTCCAGTAACTGCTCTCGGGACGGCTGAAGGGGCCCGAGAGAGGCTACACTGACAAGGACCCTTCGGGAAGTTCTGGTTCGCCCCCGGAAGCTGCTTCTGACATCTGTTAGATCAGGAAAGAGGCCGGCAGACAGACGGCAGGTCGAAAGTTCGCCCTCGGGTTAGGTGCAGTACCCTACAGAGCGACCCCTGAGCATGGACAGGTGACTCCAAATCAGAACCACAGAGAGTGAAGGACATAGAAGGTGAAGATTTAGAAACACATTAGCCAGCAGCTGAGAACAAAGCACAAACCAGAGCACCTCCGCAGTCTCGACTATTGACAAGAAACACCAAACTAGACCAGCAGCACAATGAAGATGTCACAAAACTCACTACCCATCAATAGGGGGGGGCTCACCTTCCAAGTCATTTCGCACCAGCCCCCAGGCCTGGCAACTGGCACTGACGCAGAGGGGGAAGGAACCGTTCAGGAGTCACAGGACAAGAACTGACGCCCTGAAGCCAAGCACCGTGGGCGCCGTGGGACAGTCGGCTTTAGCCATCGGCCCAACTGGACTCAGCGGAGAAGGGGGCGCCCAAAGCACCCGAGGAAAAGGAACTGGAAACCATGGCAGCGAGAGAGAGAGTCACAGAGAAATGTGTGCAGAGATGGTCCCAGGCCTGCCAGAAAGGGCCCACGTCCCCCAGCACCGCCAGGCCCTGCATGCCGTGATGGGGGCCAGCGCATGTGGGCGGCAGCCGAGACTCTCAGACACAGAGACCACGGGCAGGCGGCCTCCTCTAGCCAGAGGGGCAGTAAGTGACCGGCAGGGGGTCCAAGGCTATGCCCAGACTAGCTGGGGGGGGGGGCATGACAGGCCCTTCAGGTCGGGTAACTGAATGGTTGACAGCCCGGCCCGACCTGTCCCCGCCGACTGTTCTGGTCACACACAGGGCCTTGGTTCTACACTGCAAAGGAGTCGTGTCAGCAACCCTCTCCCCACCAGCCAGAGGAGGGACGGTTACATCCACACCCACATCCATACAGAAACATGTTACAGCGTTACTGATTACACAACATCAAAGACCGATAGGAGCACTCTGTACTATCCCTGCAACTTTCCCCGAGAGCTGGGATTATTCCAAATCGAAAGTACTCAGGCATTTTACTTATTCCTCCTAAGTAGCAGTCAGCCCAAGAATTCCCTGAGACATCAAGACTTGAATATAATAATCTACCTAACTGATAAAAAACATTCTTTGACCAGATAGAAATTCCATGTGATCAAGAACCGTGTCCGCTTGTGTGGCGACCGTTGGTCTTCCAAGTAGACAAAGCAACAACTGATCTTCTGGTCAAGGGCCCCAGCCCACACACCTGGTGTTGCTGGAATAATCCCACATGGCCACGTCGAGGAGGCTCCGGACCCAGGTCTTGGACGGCTCCTTGCGGAACTTTTGCTGGTAGATCCCCACAACGAGGTCCTCAACGGTGAGCAGCTCTAGGTTTTGTCGGATTTCTTCCACCGCAAACAGAAACACACACGTCAGCAGCTGCAGTTGGCGGAACGCGGACCCACACGCCCAGTGGAAACGGGGGGAGCGACTCACCCGAAGCCTTGGTCATGTGCTTCAAACACCAGTTGACTCTGGCCCTGTCGTCAGACTGGAGGGAAAATGACGTGTGTTTACTGACAATTAGATGAGGGTTGATCCTTTCACGGGAAAGGCACGTAGGGGCTGGGCATGGCAGAATGTCAGGATGGCACGCAGGAAATCGAACCCTGATTGGCAATGCTGAAATGCTGTATGACAGCCTAAGGGAAACCGAGGGAAGGCAGCTACGGGATCACCATCCGGGGTTTGCTCGTGGTTGGGGCCCGAGTGACAGGACAGTGGGAAGGGCACTTGCTTCGCAGGCAGTCGACCTGGGTTTAATCCCTGGCAACACTTACGGTCCCCTGAGCATCGCCAGGTGCTAATTCCTGAGTGCAGAGCATGAGTGACCCCTGAGCACCACCAGGTATGACCCAAAAAGGAAAAAAAGCAACAAATAGTCCATCCATGGTAATTTCAATAAGCGAAAAAGGGGAACTGCATCAACTCCTAGCCTAGAACCTAGAATGGTGTAGACCAAAAGGTCACAAAAAGGAACGAAGACAACTCTGAAGAGATCACTTTCCTTAGAGCGACAGGATACAACACGAACATCCACTCTTCAAGATAACAAAATACTGAAGAAGGGCCAGAATGAAAGCACAGTGGGGAGGTGACTGCCAATCAGGACTCGATTTCCAGCATCCCATATGGTCCCCCAAGTACCACTAGGAGTAATTCCTGAGCGCAGAGACAGGAGTAACACCTGGGCATCATCAGGCATGGCCAAAAACTAAAATACTGAACGTGTCTCAAGAACGGACTAAAGCGATGTATCAAGGTAGAAACCCGCTCAGCTTCTGCAGTCTGGAGCCTTCCCATAGCAGACACCAAGCCGAGCACTGGCGCAGTCAGAATGTGTGTGCGCACCGGGCTGGCATAGGGAAAGCCTCTTCAGGAGCGTTTCCTGGACTGGGGGTGTCTCCACGGACTTCCCAGGCACGCGTCGGCGGGAATTACCTTGCAGTAGATGGGTGGCCACATCCCCGGGGCTGGATGAATGAATCGATAGAGATTTTGTAACACAGTTGCCTGGTCGTGCCCGGATTCAAAGTTGGAAATCGGAATCTTGTGGCTGGAATCACCTGCGGGAGGGGGCGCGTATCGTGAAGCCAGGACTGACCCCAGCCGTCTCCCCTCTCCCTGCTCTCTCTACTTTGAATGGGCATCCCTGAAAACGGCTCTCGCCGAGAACGCCCGATTCTTCGGAAACCTACTTGGCACCTGGTCAGTGCAAGCACAATATGGAAAACAAGTGCAAAATGGAACCCCAAGCACCACCAAAGAGCAAACAACAAGTGCCAGTTCTCAGTTCATAGAAATACGCCTTTACGCGTTCCGTCCGGTGCCTGCACTGTCACGAAGATTCTCCCAGCGCCAAGGCACCCCCCCCCCCCCCCCGCGGGAAGCCTGCTTTGGCTAAGCGCAGACGCCATCGCCAGCTCACCACACTTACTTGCAGCCTGACAGTGAAACCGGAATCCTCGTGGAATTTCACCTGCAAGACATAACAGTTTTGTTTTTGGGTCACACCCAGCGATGCTCAGGGGTTTCTCCTGGCTCTGCACTCAGGAATCACTCTTGGGGGAATCCTATGGGATGCTGGGGATCAAACCCGGGTCGGCCGCATGCAAGGCCAACGCCCTACCTGCTGTACTATTGCTCCGACCCCCAAAAACAGTTTTGCTGGGAGCAGCAGAGGCCGGGGACGGTCAGACGCCGGGAGGACTGGCCGTGGAGGACGCGGCCACGCACCTGGGTTGATGAAGCTGTGGAAATCTGCCATGATGCCGTCCTGGAGCGAGTACTTGACGCAGCCGATCTCACAGGGCAGGAAGCGCTGCTCGCAGTGCGGGGGCAGCTCGCCGTGGCTGAAGATGTTCAGGAAGTAGAAGATGCCTCCCAGGAGCGCTGGCGACAGAGCGGAAGCAGAATTACCCCACGGGCAGCTCAGAAACACCCAGCCTTCAGGAGCAAACGCTCACACCACAGGAAAACCGTCAGCTCTATCGGCCCAGACCAGACACAGACTCAACTGCAGTAGGAACGTGTAACCCTGAACTCTTCCTGAAGTGACAAATTCATTCAACTCCACCCAGACCCGCACGACTTAGCGGCCCAGCAGCCAGACTCCAGAATGACGACGAAACACCCTGAGCCGTTTTTAACACGTGTAAGGATCTGGGAAATCAAGCCAAGGACAGTGGTGTAGAAAAACGCTTCGGGATAAACTATTCATTCGGCTCAGTTCAGCTCAGTTCTTTACCTTTCACCTACACGTACACAACAATCCTACCCATTTTCTAAAGGAAGAGGAAATAAGAATATGAATATGAGGTGCTCACTGACCAGAATTAGCCAGATTCAATTTAAAAAAAAAAAAGGCCAGAATTTCAAGGACTCGTCGTAACATGCTCTTTTCTAAGTTGGCTCAGTAATTCATCTGTCCATTTATAACCTAAATGTATTGCGGTGTCCACCTACACGTTAAAATCTGAGAAGTATGCTTAATAATAAGTGGCAGGAGTCGAGAACAGATTTCTGTTAAGGAAAAACATTCAGCGTTATTCCTATAAATGCAAATCACCTGAGTCAACGTCTCTGAGATGCAGGATTAAGATCAACAAAATACACTCACTGTTTTTTAATTGAATCACCTTGGGATAAACTGAATCACCGTGAGATACACAGGGACTGGGGTTCGGTCAGACAACGCTCCGACACCAGTCCCTCCACCAGCACACGTTTCCCTCCCACCCACCCCCAACTGAACGGTGTGAGCGCCCTAGAGGGTCGCTCGTTACTCTACCTTGATCACTGTTTAAAGACAAGGTCGACATATCTGGGGGTGAGAAGTTCTGCTTGGGCACAAGCATGCAGGGTCTCCTCAGCGGGGTGCAGACAGGTTTCTAAGGAAGAGAAGGACACGCACAGCTGTTCCCAGCCCTCAGCGACCCTCAGCCACGGGGGCAGGGGCAGCCACAACCACAGGTGCCTGGGGAAAGAGCCCCAAGGGAAGCCCAGGTGCATCCCCGCCACAGCCCCCCAAAACTCCCGGGGGCTTAGCTGACCCCTGACCATAGGCCAATCACGCCACATGACTGGATCCTGGCACGCAGACTGCTGATGGCACTGACCCCCCAGCACTGATGAGACCCCAAACCCTTGACTCCCCGAAAATCACGCTATAGACTGCCATCCAGAACCCTGACGGTAACAGATCAGCCAAGCCACAGTTTGTCCATTATCGTCTCCTCTCTATTCCTACTTGGAGAGCAAGCCTGAGGAAAGAAAATGCTGGTGCCAGAGCTCTAGGACACCAGGGAAAGCATTTGCCTTGCACACAGTTGACCTGGGTTCGATCCTTGGCATCCCATTATGATCCCCCAAGCACCGCCAAGAGGATTCCTGAATGCAGAGCCAGGAGTAACCCCCGAACATCGCCGGGTGTGGCCCAAACACCAAAAAAAAAAAAAAGAAAGAAAGAAAGAAAGAAGAAAATGCTAAGAAAATCAAGAGGTGGGGGCAGAGAGATAGCACAGTGGGGAGGGCCCTGGTCTTGCAGGCGGCAGACCCAGATTCACTCCCCGGCATCCCAGAGGATCGCCCAGGCCCCACCAGAAGGGACCCCTAAGTGAAGAGTCATGGACCAGACCTGAGCACTGTTAGGTATGATCCAGGAACAAAACATGGGAAAAAAGGTGACCCCTAACTTGGCCATGCACTGTCACATTCTCCCTATGATCCCCCTGCCCCTAGAGCCCCAGGCCACACACCAGCTCCCCAGCCCAGAGCACATCAGCCACACAGGGGCTGGAGAGATGGTCCAGCCACTGGCCGGGCTCAATCCTCAGCCTCACATTTGGCCCTCCAAGCACCCCAAGGGTGATTCCCGGGTGCAGAGTCAGGAGTGACTCTGGGAATCACGGGGTGTGATCCAAGATAAAACAACAACAACAACAAAAAAACTAACAAAAAGAACTTTAGTCACGCTGATACATCTGTTCCCTCCAAGTGGAAAAGCCCCATGAGGCTGAAACCTGAGGACAGGCATGTTATCAGCTGACACACACTCGGGGATCACGCCTCCTAACAAACTCCAAGAACGGAGTAAATGAACCAAGGGCCGGTCCAGTACCTCTGAGCACAAACCCCACTGAAGAGCTTCTGCTTCAACTCCAGCTCACTGAGCACAGGCCAGCCCAGCTCTCCGGGATGTGCGCCCTCGCCGACGCTTTACCGACAGAACTTTAGGGCCCGGAGCACTAGCACAGCCGGGAGGGCGCTGGTTTTGCACGAGGCCTATCAGGATCCAACCCCCAAGCACCCTCCATGATCCCCCAAGCCTGCCAGGAGTGAGTCCTGAGTTCAGAGCCAGAAAGTAAGCCCTGAGCGTCACCAGGGGGGTCCAAAAACAAGAAACAAGGGGCTGGAGCGATAGCACAGAGGCCAACCTGGGTTCGATTCCCAGTAACCCATATGGTCCCCCGAGCACCACCAGGGGTAATTCCTGAGTGCAGAGCCAGGAGTAAACCCTCCCCCTCCATTTCCCTACCAACCAAAGTTTGGACTATTATTGGTTTGGGAGGGTCACACCTGGTGATGCTCATGGCTGACTCCTGATACTGCACTCAGGAATTACTCCTGGCGGTGCACTGTGGTCATATGGGATGCCGGGTATCGAACCCGAGTCTGCTGCACGCAAGACGAACACTCTACCCACTGTGCCATCGCTCCAGCCCCTACCAACTGAACTTTTAACGTGAGGCGTTTTCCTCCTGGTCTGATTTCAGCAGAGCCGCAGCTGGGCAGCCCTTTGGCTAACGGCTCCAGCTCAAACCCTCCAAGTCTCCTAGAAGTGGCCCGGCCCTCCCCGTGCGCGGCGGGGAACCGGTCCAACAGAGACCCAGTGAGGACCGCGGTCTAACTGGCCGCAGCTTTCGGGGGCACTGGCTGGAGAGGGGCTGGGGGGAACCTGAGGGGTTTCATTCCTCCAGACCAGCCCTGGACGAGGGGAATTTACAACTGAAAACCGTTGGGGCCAGATGGACCATGCAGGGCGGGGCGCTGGCCTCGCATGCAGCCGACCCAGGTTTAGGGTCCCTCCAAGCCCCCCACGGGGTGGGGGTCATCCCTGCCTGCAGAGCCGGAAGTGAGCCCTGAGCAGCCACGGGTGCGACCCCAACGGCGCCTTTTTAAATTTCCTGCCCCGACCCCACCTCCCCCCCCAGCGGCCTCTACCTGCTTCTCCACCGGCGCCGGGTCCTTGCCCTGGGCGGCTCTCCACTCGCGCGCCATCTCCGCGTACTTCTCCTTCTCCTCCTCGCTCAGGAGCTGGGGGGCGGGGAGGTGGGCTGCGTGAGGTCCCCGGGACCCCTCCCACCCCTGCAGACCAGGGGCTGGGCGTCTCCCGGGGGTGGGGGGGACTTCCGGGGCTGGGGGAGAGGCTCCCAGGGCTGGGACTTCTGGGGCTGGGGGTCTCCCAGGGCTGGGGGCTCTGGGGGTTCCCGGCGTTGGGGGACCTCCCGGCACTGGGGGGGTCTCCAAGCACTGGGGGTTTCCGGGGCTGGGGGGCTTCCGGACTCCTGGGACTGGGGGCTTCCCGGGGCTGGGGAGTTCCGGGACTGGGGTCTTCCGGGGCTGGGGGGTGGTTCCGGGTCTGGGGGTTCCCGAGGCTGGGGGGCTTCCCAGGGCTGTGGGGGTTCTGGGGCTGGGGACTTTCCCGGGGCTGGGGGGGGAGTCCGGGGCTGGGGGTTCCCGAGGCTGGGGGGCTTCCCAGGGCTGGGGGGGTTCTGGGGCTGGGGACTTTCCCGGGGCTGGGGGGGGGATTCCGGGGCTGGGGGTTCCCGAGGCTGGGGGGCTTCCCAGGGCTGGGGGGTTCTGGGGCTGGGGACTTTCCCGGGGCTGGGGGGGGATTCCGGGGCTGGGGGCTCCCAGGGCTGGGGGGTTCCGGGGCTGGGGGTTCCCGAGGCTGGGGGGCTTCCCAGGGCTGGGGGGATTCTGGGGCTGGTGGCTTTCCCGGGGCTGGGGTGCTTCCGGGGCTGGGGGGGCTCCCGGGGCTGGGGGCTTCCTGGGACTGGGGGCTTCCCGGGGCTGGGGGGGCTTCCGGATCACTTTGTCCCGGGACGCCCCCCTCCACCCCCCCCACCGGGCAGAGGCTGCCCGAGAGGCCCCCCAGGCCGACCCTCCCGCCTCGCCCGCCCGCCCGGGGGCCTCGGCCCGGCCGACCCACCGCCCAGTCGGCCGAGCAGTAGGGGATGGCATCGGCCACGCGGGCCACGGGCAGGCCTCGCCGCCGCAGCTCCGGGATCTTCTCCTGCACGAAGAAGTAATAGGCGTTCCGACTGGCCTTTCGGTTGGGCATGGCGAGCGCACGGGGCTTGGCCTGGCTCGACGACACCGCGACGACGACGACACCACGACGACGAGCCGCACCAGCCGCCCGCGGCCTCGCCGGGCTCCCGCCCTTAATAACCGCGGCTGCTGCGCCTGCGCGCGCCGCCTCGCCCGCTCCCAGCCAATCAGGGCGCGGGGCGCAGCCGCAGTGCAGAAAAACTGTCCGACACCCGGAAGCGGCTCCCTCGCGGGCTGCGTGCCCATTGGCGCGGGCGGGGTCACGTGGTGTGGGTCCCCCCCCCCATCACGTGGCGCGAGCCCAGTCACGTGGCGCGGAGGCGTTCGCGAGGTGCAGCCCGCTTAGTCACGTGGGCAGGAGGGTGCAGTGTCTGTCCATTGTTGCGTAATACGGTGCGGGAGGGGGTGGGAGATGGAGAAGAGGTGGGTGATAGTGAGATTGGTTTTAACCCGCCCCCCCCAAATACTTGCCCTCAGCTTTATTTTTTTTTCTTTTTGGATCACACCTGGCGATGCTCAGGGGTTCCTCCTGGCTCTGCACTCAGGAATCACTCCTGGCGGTGCTCAGGGGACCCTATGGGATGCTGGGAATCGAACCCGGGTCGGCCATGTGCAAGGCAAACCCTACCCGCTGTGCTATCACTCCAGCCTCAAGCTTAACGACATTCTGATAGGAAGAGATGGAGAGCACTTGTCCTCCTGTTGTTCATCAATTTGCTCGAGAGGGCACCAGTCATGTCTCCATGGTGAGACTTGTTGTGACTGTGTTTGGCATCTCCAAGACACCACGGGGAGCTTGCCAGGCTCCGCAGTGCAGGCAGGATCCTCTCAGTAGCTTGCCAGGCTCTCCGAGAGGGTCGGAGGAATCGAACCTGGGTCAGCTGCCGTCAATGCAAATGCCGTACCTGCTGTGCTATCGCTCCAGCCCGAGATGGAAAGAAGTCAGGATATCAGCCCTTCCACCCATATGGGGTTTTTTCCTAATAACGTCCTGTGTTACCTGTCAGGAATGGACCCCAGGATCTCACCCCAGAGGGGTCATGTGGTGGTTAAGGGCTAGGAAGGACACTTTCTCACTTTTTTTTCTTTATGGTTTTTGGGGGCTCACCCGGCAGTGCTCAGGGCCTCCTCTTGGCTCTGCGCTCAGGGATCCCTCTTAGCGGTGCTTAAGGGGGGGGGGATTGAACCCGGGTCAGTTGCTGCAAGGCAAGCACCCTGCCCTAACCCGCTGTACTATCGCTTCAGCCCCTCCCTCTCACTTTTTATTTTATTTTATTTAGCTTTTTAGATCATACCTGGTAATGCTCAGGGGTTACTCCTGGCTCATGCACTCAGGAATTACTCCTGGCAGTGCTTGGGGAACCAGATGGGATGCTGGGAATTGAACCCGGGTCGGCCACGTAAAAGGCAAATGCCCTACCCACTGTGCCATTGCCCCAGCCCCCACTTTTCTTTTTAATATCAGACCATTTTATCCTCCTCTTTGAAAGCTGATTTGAATCTTTGTGTGTGTGTGTGTGTGTGTCGGTCCTCCACATTCTTGCTTGATGTCATCTCACTGCTTTCTCTCACATAGGATGCGGTTATAATGTCAAACGTAGTTCTGTGTCCTCATCTGTTCTATCATCAGTGGCATTTCTGGGTCTGTTTCTACTGAAGAAGAATCATTTTTTCTTCCTAATTATGAAAGCTGCCCTGCTTCCTTGCAAGCTTGGTGGCACCGGGTTGACAGACGGGGCAAATTCCCCCTGTTAAAGAGGGCTGTGTATTCTGGTCTTCTTATAAATACTCAGGGGCTTTGTTCTGCAACCGAATCATGTCACTTTGAAGCAACGAGCCTGATTGGGGCTCGTTTTTCAGGCCGGTTTTGGACATTGTTATTCCAAACCCCCAGCCACTTTTGCTGGCGTTCTCTCCTCAGCTGATGGAACCCCTCTGAGCACCTGGCAGCCCGTGGCAGATTTTGCTATTCCTGGCCCTTGTGTGTTCAGAGGGCCGGCCCTTCAGAGCCTTCCAGGGTGATCTTTCCCTGTCGTGTATGTAGAGTTACTCCCACACACTGGCATCAGGATTTCAGCTGGTGCTTCCAGGGAGCCCCTCAGCAGATTTCCAGAAGCTTTCTTTGTGTTCTTCATGCTTTTTGGAACGCTGTCCTGCCAGCTCCAGCCCAAGTGGCCTATTTAAATGGTCCACTGTAGGGGCTGGAGCAATAGCACAGCAGGTAGGGTGTTTGCCTTGCATGCAGCTGACCTAGGTTCGATTCCCAGGATCCCATATGGTCCCCTGAGCACCGCCAGGGGTAATTCCTGAGTGTCTGAGCCAGGAGTAACTCCTGCACATTGCTGGGTATGACCCAAAAAACAAACAAAAAAAATGGTCCACTGTATCTCCCACGCCCAGGGAGATCAGGGGACTCATGACCGTGAGACCAGACCACCTCATGTCCATGGTGCATTCCAGATTCTCACTGCACTGCCAGGAGTAATTCCTGAGTGCATGAGCCAGCAGTAACCCCTGTGCATCGCCAGGTGTAACCCCCCCGAAAAAGGTTCACCCACCATACCTACCCCCATCTTTCCTTCTGTGTGGGGTATATAAACAATATTCCTTATCGCTGACCATTTTTTTCCATTAAGGATGCACGCAGCCGACCTGGGTTCGATTCCTCCATCCCTCTTGGAGAGCCCGCCAAACTACTGAGAGTATCCCGCCCTCACGGCAGAGCCCGGCATGCTATCGTGGCATATTCAATATGCCAAAACAGTAACAACAAGTCTCACAATGGAGATATTACTGGTGCCCGCTCAAGCAAATCGATGGACAATGGAGGACAGTGCTACAGTACTACAGTGTTTAGTGCATCGTGGCTGGAGTTGCCTGATTCTCTGGTTAACACCTTCAAGCATTCTTTAGATGTCACCGCTAACTTTTAGAGAAAGAATCAGGGCAGCTTCTGAGGAGGGGTGGCATTTTGACATTTAAAATGAGAAAAAAAATAGTAGAAGACTACTATTGGGCTGGAGCGGTGGCACAGTGGGTAGGGCGTTTGCCTTGCAAGTGGCGGACTTGGCCGAGCCAGGTTTGATTCCTCTGCCCCTCTCGGAGAGCCCGGCAAGCTACCGAGAGTATCTCGCCCGCGCGGCAGAGCCTGGCAAGCTCCCCGTGACGTATTCGATATGCCAAACACAGTAACAACAACTCTCACAATGGAGACATTACTGGGCCCGCTTGAGCAAATTGATGAACAACGGGAGGACAGTGCTACAGTGCTAATATCCATGGCCAGGGAAAATAGGACTAGGAGGACTGGTCAGTGGTTGGAATCAACCACAAGGGTGTGAGGGCTGATGGTGAGTAAGATATAGAAGGGACCAGGATGACAATAATAACTGGGAAGGATCGCGCTGGACAAGAATTGAGGGTTAAAAGTGGTAAAGGAATATTCTTGATAAACTTTCAGTATCAATATTGCAAACCACAATGCCCAAATGGGGGGGGGGGGAAGAGAAAGGGGAAAGAGAGAGAAAGAGAGAGAGAGAACCTGTCATTGAGGCAGGCAGGAGTTGGGAGGTGGGGGTGATGGGAGGGACCCTGGGGACCCTGGTGCTGGGAAAGGCGCCCTGGAGGAGGGATGGATGTTGGAACACTGTATGACTGAAACCCAATCATGAACAGCTTTGGAAGGGTCTATCTCACAGTGATTCAATTAAAAAGTTAAAAAAAAAGAATTAGAAAAGAATACAAAGGACGGGGCTGGAGCAATGGCACAGCGGGGAGGGCGTTTGCCTTGCATGCAGCCGACCTAGGTTCGATTCCCAGCATTCCATAGGGTCCCCCAGCACCGCCAGGAGTAATTCCTGAGTGCATGAACCAGGAGGAACTCCTGTGCATCGCTGGGTGTGACCCAAAAAGCAAAAAAAAGAATGCAGAGAAGCAGAGGATGTCCTGAGAAGAGCAATGCAGAGAGGGAACAGCTTGGGTGGGAATCCGACGATGACGCACCTGAGTGCCCTCCAGAGAATCACGTGTAGCCCCAGGGTCGACAGGTAAGATGAGCCTTCGGCAGTCAGGGGAGGGGGGTGTGGGGATCAAACCCGGGCAGCCACGTGTGACTCAAGCGCCCTTCTCACTGCACTGTGGCTCTGGCCCCGAGATCACTAGTTGGGATGATATTTGGAGAAGAGGCTTGTATGGCAAGAAGGGGCACAGGAGCGAGTGCCCAGCAGTGTATGTAAAAGGTGAGTGGGACCGAGCAGAGACAGGGCTGGCACGAGGCAGAGGTGGGGTCTAAATTGTGCTGGGTGGAGCAGTAGGCAGATGGGTTTGGGAGGGGGGTGGCAAGGGGGTGCCTTTGCCTCAGCCTGGCCCGGGGATCACACAGGTGGCTAAGAAGAGCCCAAAGCTTCACCCTGACTGCCGTGATTTCTACCACCTGCTCCTCTTCTCCTTTGATTTTTTAAAAATTTTTATTAGTGAAACAGCACGAGGTACAGTTGAAGACTTACAAACTTTTGTGCTTGGGTTTCGATTATACAATGATCAAATACCCATCCCTCCACCAGTGCCCATTCTCCACCACCGTGGATAATATCCCTCCCCCCTCAGCCCCCCCACCCCACCCCGCCTCTGTGGCAGGGCATTCCCTTTTGTTCTCTCTCTCCTTTTGGGTGTTGTGGTTTGCAAGAGAGGCACTGAGTGGCCATCATGTTCGGTCTATAGTCTACCTTCAGCATGCTTCTCCCATACTGGGAATTGATTTTCTTCTTTTTGGTTTATTTTAAGGGCCACATCCAGTGGCTGTGCTCAGGGCTTACTCTGCCCTCAAAAATCACTCCTGGCGGGGTTTGGGGAGACCTTATGGGGTGTTGGGGATGGATCCCAGGTGGGCAAGCACCTTAGCCACTGTCCTAGCTCTTCAGTCCTTCCTCCCTTTGATACAATTGATGTGATTTTTCATTTTCTCTCTTTTTATTTTTTATTTTTTGGCCTTTTGATCACATCTGGCGATGC